AAAGGTAAACATCAAGAAAAAGACGAGCTCGAAAACCACCAGCTTCCTTCACTTGCGCGAGTAATGCTGATACTGATGCACCAAACTAAGCACGCAATTCAAATTCACCATACATCGACACGAACACACAAGAAATTAGTCACCGAAACTGAATAATTCGGATGCCTATAAAAACTAGAGCATAAGTACCCTATTTATCAGATCACTAAGATATATGTTCACATGGTGCTCCCACAATCCCTAACCATGAGCTACTTAACGACAATAATCGAGAATAATTCATCAGGTAAACCAGTGTTAGCTGGCACACTGGAACCAGGCATGATCACTACCTAAATGGTTGTCTAAGTCATTGGTTCGTCTAGTCTTCTAGGAGATATAGAAGTAACCACTAGTGAGTCAGTCTAACAAGTATATTGTCTAAGCCTCTAAATTCTCTGATTATAACATATTTAATTCAAGCTAGAAAACATCAAAACCGGGACAACCAGTCACGTTTCAGATCTCACCACAGGTGGGCTGACCAGATATTTATACCCCACCAGACTCTGAAACTTACGTACTCCCACCGGTACCCGACACTAGCTGAAGTTGACATACGACCTTGTCGGTCGAAGTGTTACAGCAGTTTGCCACCGAAAGGGGAGCCGGTCTAGCACATCACCCTGTTGAAAGCCATATATTTAAACACTCGTGGGCGCATCAGAGCATATGGTGACTTATCACGTGAGTCATATACTTTGAGTGGTGTCCATCAAGGGTATCCGCTCTCTCTATTCTTATCCAATCTCTCATACGCTTGTCTATGGAGGTCCCCCTATCCTCATCTGACATCAGGGATTGATCTTGTCACAGGCGGTTATTTAGTGGACCCACAGTACACAGATGACATAGTCTTGTTAGATGAAGATACTGAAAGGATTCACAGTCTACTGGGAACCTTGGCTGGCAATTTGACAATCTTTGGGATGTGTTTCTCACCAGCTAAATCCGAATTCCTTCTCCAAGACTCGTCTGCATTGACACCTCGCTTGACAATAGACAGTAAAGTGGTTGAGTGCGTTAACCACTCCACTTACCTGGAAGGTCATATCAACCCCTGTGAGTCAGCCACCGAAGAAATCTAGACACGGATACAAAAGCCACCATCGGCTTTTGCAAACCTGCCTTATTTATTGCGTCACTGTGATATCCAGTTGCCTATCAATGACTGAGTGTACTGCGCTACAGTTTGCTCTGTCCGACTACATGGCTGAGAAGCATGACCATTCAAGATAGACAACGTTACAAAGCTTCAGACGTTCAACCACCGTTGTCTTCAAGGCATAGGCACTGGTCCGTTGTGCCATCGCGACAGCAACGTAGACATCATGTGCAGAGTTTTGAGAAGAAGAGAAAATTCAGTTGGTGGGGTTGCGAACTGTCATCGACTCAGATGCCTGCGACGTGTTACGCATACTCGGTCACAACTTATCCCATCACACAATGTTAGATGACGTAGGTTCAGACTGGAAAAAGGTTAGAGGCGGACAGACTAGGACATGGCATCAGCCCATAAACCTTTACAGTGTTGATCTGAGGTGAGTAGGGAAATTCAGACTTCCTGGTTAAGGTAAGCATGATAGCCGACAACACCAGCACGTTTTGAAGATCCAAGATAGAGAAAAACAAACGTCGGGTGCAACTAGACTTATATGATGACTTTCCTGAAGTTTCCAAAACGTTCATCATTCAACATCAATAGTGCGAGTAGAAGAAAGTTGTCGTTTTTTGAGAGCTCGCTTTCAAGTCTTGAGGCTCGGTTCTTCTTGTTCGGTTATACTTTTACGGTGGTCGCAGAAGCGTTTATTTTTTTCTAGCTTATAGCTTTGGATATGGATCTTAAGCAGTTCTGCATTGCGCCCGAAGTCTTCAATGTGCGCTCTGATTGAATGATAGACAGGAAATTGCAAAAATATCTATTTGATGACGTCGTAAACGTAACAAGCTTTGAAATGTGATAGATTTATCCCTGCCAAATATTGGTAAATGTACTGTCCTTTTCAAGAGTAAAATGGTTAGGTTTTACGCGACCCATTGTTAGGAAATGTTACGTAAGTAAGTATGGCCAATAGCTAACTGATAACGACAGACAAGTTGCAGAGCATGGGACGAGAAGTATGAAAAACTGTGGGGAACATGAAGCAGAATGGAAGTTTGTTTTCCCGAAATTCACTGTTCAACTTCAAGATTTTAATTATCCCGGTCTCAGCCCGTCTGGCCTCGTCTAAATGCTGGCTAGAGATACCTCTTATTACATATGATTATGTACTCGGCCGTTTAAGGATGAATCGATATAGCACTGCAAAGCACCTGCTAGGTAGCCTTAAGCTTTTATCGTGCTTCAACTTCATAAAAAATTACAATTGTTCAGGGCGATGTTTGGTTGGATTTCGAGATAACCCCTCCTACACATTCAACTTAGACAATTCGTGCTCACAAGGATTTCATTGTTTGCATTCAGTGGAATGCTAGTCAAGTTATGCATCAGGATGCCCACTACAAATAAAACATACCCTTAATCATAATTCTTTAGGCCGTACCGCTTAAATCCTACACGACAATCTCCATTATTACTTCATGTATAGTAGAATCTTCTGTTATATGACATGAAAATATCAGAATAGAGAAGATTTATACGTTAGTATCAAAGAAGTTCGGTTATAATGGCTAAATCTGTAGTTTAACAGTTTCATCCAGCATCCAATATCTTTTTAGGAGCTAGTGTAAACCTACTGATTTCTTCGCGCTCGCTTCCAGGTTTTGTGTAATGGTTCCATGTCTTTGGTGGATTCCGACACAGGCCTACCCACTCGACTACTATAGCTCTGATTAATTCGACGGGCAGTTTGGTGTTGGTTAAATTTGTGGGGAGCGTGGTCTTTTATTCCAAGGAATGTGGTGGAGATGGGTTCCTCAAGTGTCGTGTCAGCAGACAATTGGTCGGACTGGTTGTAAAAAGGAGATAGAAAATATGTCCAGAGAAATCAAGGAAGAAAAAGTGGGGAGAAAAACAAACAATAGAAGAAACAAGTAAGAAAAAGGAAACGGTATGGAAGAAACATAGGTAGATTCATGGGAGAGGGGTGATGGAGGGGTCTTTTATTAAAGTATGAGAATATAAAGTCATTAGGAAGGGAAAGAGAAAACAACATTATAGGACGGCTTCTGGGAATAGAGATAGTAATTCTATTAGTAGGAGACGGTAACTGGAGCGAACGTCTATAGGGAAGTATAAGCTTGAGCCAAGTTTGCAGTGACAGTGGTGTTACAAAGTATTCAGTAATGGGTTGGCCATACCGAGTTAGTAGGTTGTATCAGCTTAGTCCATATCCCAGATAGATGAGCGCAAACCGTGCGTCACTGCATAATTTTCCAACCTCTTCTTGATGCTGTCAACAAACGGAACAGTAGTAATCTCAGCATGCAATGCGTTCCAGCGGCCGCAAACTCGCAGAGAGGTGTGTGGACACACACGGGTCTTCGCCATTTGGTGGGCGATTCTCCTTAGGTTACCACGAGGATCGCCACAGTGGATGTTCGGTAGGATTACACTATTCGGCTGACTTGGGTTAATTAGTATTTTGTAAGCCCTTATCAAGTCACCACGTATTCTACGGTGGCTTAGAGAGTAGAGTCTTAGGTCTTTCAGCCTATTCTCATAGGGTTTTTGCCTCATTCCCACGGCACCCTTTGTTGCTCGCCTTTGAACTTTCTCTAGGAGGTTCGCATCTCTTTTCAGATATGCTGTTGCAGTGACGTTGTGGACCTCTGAGTGAGGTAGTATGTAGGCCTTGTACAGCTTCAAAAAGAGTTCTGGAATCAGAGCACCAAGTTGTCTGCGCATGAAGAGCAGTACTGCGTAGACTCTAGAGGCATCTCCTGGATAATTGGAGCTAGTGTTTAGCTTGTCAGCCAGTATTAGTCCTAGGTCTTTCTCTGTTGTAATGTGAGAAAGTTGTGTTCCGCAGAAAGAGAGTCAGGGGTGTGAAGCAACAAGGCTCGGCACTTATCCAGATTAAATGCTAGTCCATTAGTATCCATCCACTCTGCAAGTAATTTGAGATTACTTCGCAGTGTACTTGATTCTGTTTCGGACGTCACAGCTCTCCATGACTTAACATCATCAACGTAAAGTAGAATTGGGGAGCTGAGATTCAGTGGGAGGTTGTTCACAAAAAGGAATATCAGCAGACACAGAATCGCTTCTTGTGATACACCAAATGATGATGTCCTCCAAGTCGATCAAACTCTGTTGGCTTTTGTGCAGAATTGTCTGCTGTTTAAATAGTCTTGTAGTCAGGAAAGCACTTTACCCTTGATGCTCAACCTTGCCATTTTGTGAATAAGAATGGCGTGCGGAACTGCATCAAATGCCTTAGCTAAATCCAGGAGAATAACATGGACAGGAATTTGGAGGTCCCAGCATGCCGTTCATTTATAACCGACTGCCAGAATATTTGAGGCGCAGGACCTACCCTTTCAGAAACCATATTGAGCATCACTTAGTGCTCCCCTCTTTTCCAAGTACTCTCTGGCATGGTCGTCAACCAGGTTCCCCATTACTTTTGACACCACTGGTAGTAGAGCTATGGGTCAACAGCATTTTGGGTTCTGCTTGTCTCCTCCTTTGAAGATGGGGGACAGAATAGCACGTTTCCACTCTAGTGGAAGCATGGTATTGTCGAGGAAATAGTTAAGCCAGATATCAGTAGTATGCAAAATAGTGTCCGGTGCATGTTAGGAACGTAGTGCGAGCCAAATAATAATAAATCAGCGAATTTATTGAGGTTAAATTCCGTTTAACTAAAATTTTCATACTCAGCAATTTTCGTGTGAAATCCAGTCCTTAGAGTAAATTAGCAACAACGAAAACTCAAGACTAAAACACCTGAACCCAATCAAAAAATTCAAGAGAAATAAACAGTATGAAATTAAATACAAGCATACACGGGAATTACCAATACTAACAGACAAGCACTAGCGGTACTCAACGCTTGTCAAGCCGAAGGTTGTAGTGCTCTTTGCAGCCTTCTGACCTAATTCAGAAGTTGGTTATAACAAAGTTTAATCTTATTTCAGCACTGTTCATGTCTCAACTCAGTCGTGTACTTTCAAGATAACATTCGATCAAAATGTAGTTGATATGTAAGGAATTCATTGAGATTATGAGTTTTATAGTACCACACTGTTTATGGGCATGGTCGTAAGGAGCTCCCACAAAAATATATTTGAATAATATATCTTCAGAGGCAAGTAAGATCGGTGTGATAGGCGGTTTCTGGCTCAAAACACCTTCTGCCTTCGCCTTATTGTTTTTGGAATGGTCATCCATGTGCCGCCAACTTTCTAATTCGCCGGGACGACTGGACTTACTGCCAGGACAAGAGAAAACCAGTAAGTGTTATTTCTCTCCACATGGCTAAAGCATTCGACAGTGTTCTATTTGTATTTCTACTTCTCGAGATTGGTTCAGTTTACACGAGTGAACCTCTGCTCTCTTGGTTCAGGTAGTACCTAGGAGGCAGACAGTTGTGCAACAAAGTAAACAGAACACGGTCAAAGTGGAGACCATCGACATCAAGAAGCACTTCTAGGACCACTTCTGTTCCTCCTGTTCTTCAACGACCTGGGACATAAAATCTTTCCACCCATTCTCCTCTTCGCTGATGACATTTAAATTTGTAAGATAGTAAACGACGAGGCCAGCTGCACGGTAATTCAAAGTGACCCGCAGCTACTATAACTCTGGTCATCCGAGAACTGCGGCAGTCCCAACCTACAGAAGTGCAAAGCGATCTACATCAATGTCCATGGACCAAAGCTGGCTTAATTTCAACGCGGCTTGGGCAACCATACTATCTCCAAAGTGTTCACGGATAAAGACCCTGGGCTTAAATTTTCGAACACGTTGAACTCAAGCTCTCAGTACAAACGAACGTAGGCCGGAGCAAGGCTGTTTCTCATAGTCTACAAATCTTACACACAGCTGTACCTGAAGGTCTCCAGTACGTTAGCACCCCTGACGCCCATGAGATACTTTATTCACCCGGAGAAAGACAAAGAACCGCAAAAAGTCACTCATGGGACTAAGAAGGAAGGCACGCTCCAAAGGGCTGCAACCTCAGCTCTATACACCCTGGGCCACCGAAGAAAGAGGAGTACCGTTATTGCAGCCTACAAGATAACCCATCACGCAAGTCACATAATCAGACCGATCTCGCTCGCAGCATGCAGGTCATCATGAGGGAGCCCAGAGTCGCATATCGGATGGCTAAAGCCGGGCTCATGTCTACCTTGTTCTTTTTAGGAGGGTAGAGAGAGATACAATTTTGAACCTCTTCATTTTCTCTCATTTTGTGAACGATATTACATTGAGTATCAGCCCTTCGATTCTACTTTAAGCTGACGATGTTTCATGATGGTAAGGTGCGACATTTCAAGGAGAATCGAATGCACTACAAAGCGACACGACCTTAAACGCTCGAATGGCGGGTGAAAAATTATAGGCCAGCATTTAGCCTTTCCCATGCGGCTGTGGAAAAAGACCTGGCCCAGTACCAACCGGAAAACCATACACTAGATCTGAGCATCTAGGAGATGTCTCCAGAGCTTATGTAGACAACTAGGTGCCCTCACCTCGGAATTCGTTCCGAGGCCCAGGTCACCACACCACCGCAGCTGGAAACGGATGTGGGCCTCCCGGGGGAGTTCCTCAGGTAAATCGTAAGGGGTATTGTGGAGATGAGATAAAAGACCCATGAGGATTGGACGCATGCCTTTACTCTCTAAATTACCGCAGTTTATATGGTGAATTGATAACAGCCTGCAGGATACTGCGTAATTCAAGTCGGTCAAACGGTTAAGTTTTACCAGACGCTCACTATGTCGATCGTTGTGGGGGCCAAAAGGAAATCACTCACCAAAGAGTGGAAAACCTTGCGCACTCAGTCCTTTCCTCTTCTCAATTTTGCTGCGACTGGGTAGCATTACCTGCTGAAGTTGCCACTACTTTATCTGTCAACAACTCCAAAGACGTTTGGACAGCAGTGCAACCACGCGTGGCTTGTGCCCATGAAGTTAAGATAAGGGCTAGGCCGAAGAAATCGACTGGCACCTATCATTTGAGCACTCTCTGTTTCCCTTATGCCTACTGTCCCCAAATGTCACTATTGCAATGGACCTCAAGCAGTTTTTGCCTCCAAACCAGATGCCTCAGTCCCTATTCCCCTGGTAGCCACCTTATTATGAATGTCATTGCTTCCTCTGGTTCCCCTATCCCCGCTAAGGTCTCCCCTACCCTTTTCCTACCTGCTTACGCCTAGGGACTTGAATTAACCTGGTGTTTTCTTTCGACTGACGTTTTCCCCTTTCGTTCTTCATCCTCCGCTTCTTTTTTATTATTTGAGTGTCTCTTGAACTTCTTTCTATGACAACCAGTCTGAAAAACGCCTTGACAATGTGGTCTCTGAAGTAACCGTTTGCGATGGGGACTTATGCACCCACATGCAAACTTAACCAATATCGAACCACTCGTAATGCCTCCCAGATCTACGGCAGTCGACTGGCTGAATCTATGGTACCGGGAACCAATGAGGGCCTAGAACCGTTCCACAAGAACTTGAGGTGTGGGACAATAAATCAATCTGTTTATACAGCCTCATACAGCAGATGTTGCTTATTAGATACACGTACACCGACATGCATCTCAACACTTGTGTGGAGAATTTCTCTAGTGATTTCTATCTGGGATAAGTCAAGCAACACTTCTGTAAAGCACAGGCAACCTGGAAGTATTGTCAAGAGAACATCACTATGTATTTTTCGAATCTGAGCGTCTGGTGAATCATTACTAACAAGTGACCGAGAATTTGCGAAACTTCAGCAGATGGTTGTCATTCAGATCGTCCATCAAACATTTTTAAAGTAAATACTATCAACTCCTCAACATCCGCAGAGATGCATGACGCTCAATAACGGAGATTAATCCGCACCACTGGATATTTTAGGCTTCAAGTATGATTAATGCAAACACTAGCACAAGCTCATGCACAGCATATCAACACAGACCAATTCATTTGTTATGCACACAAACCGCCTGACATTTTGTGTGCAGCCGTCCGCAGTTGCGGTTAAACGCTTGCAGCCTTGTTGAGGTTGGAGACCTCTGATAAATGAGCCAAAATCACGGCGTAAACTACCAAGCAACAGATTCTCACCACATCAAGATAGTGAACACCAAATGGTTAACCAACAGCATTTGAAGATTTCTCCCTCCTAATACACAATCAACATTTCCAAAACTTGAAGTTACCACCTGCTGGGGTCCCATAGTCGCCTGAACAGTTAGGATGCAATAGCGCCTACCTGTCCCCACAGGCCCTCAATAACGAAATGTCCCACAACCACTAAACTACTCCCTTTTAAACGCTGGTTAAAGTCCCCAGCCGTGTGAGGAAAACTTTAAAACAGATTTCTGACAGCAAGCTATCTCCTATACATTGAATTTCCTTTCTTCTGCTCTCCTAACTCTCAACTTCACTGCGATGGTGTAGGAGACCAGGTTGCAAGCGATAGGCCGTGTACCAGGACCAGAGGGCGGACAACAAGGGGTGCGTCGAAGAACCTTTAACACGAAAGTGCCTCCGGCATCAAGGATTCCCACGCCAGTCTGACGCCAGCCCCGAAATTCGGGGTGCCTGTGGACTTGTTCAGGCACGGTGATCGCAGTACGCCCCCGGCCATCCCATCAAATAAAGGCAAATATCGTATGGGTGGGCTCACTCGTTATAAGCAACATCGACACACCGAAAGCAGACCATTTGGTCATAGACAATGAGCGAATTGCTGATCTGTGGATATCAGTACCAGTGAATCACGTAACCTTGGCACTTAACTGCAGTTTGAAAGGGGACACTGCAACTGTAGTTGGGGTGTACCACATCAGTCTCACAATTCTGCGAGGAAGTAGCGATGTTTGTGAATGTGGCGCATACACCTGCAGTGTCGGACAGTACCCTACCTAACCACTTGCAACCCAACAGACTTAATGAACTGCAAGACACAATGAGTCATTGGCTGAGAAAACTACCCACGCTGGCAGGTCGGGACACAAGGACGACTACGCCAAATGAAAGAAGTGTCACTAATAATCGCAATTAGTGTTATTATTTATCCCTTGGGTTCTAAGTGGAACACAGTGCTTCAGTAGCGCGCCTCGATTGCACTCTCTTCTCTCCAGCCCTCCCTACCTGGCTCCACGACTGCCCACAAACTTTCATTTCTTCCCTACATGATCTCCTCCATGCCACCTTCAACTCGGACGCCCAACTCGTCGTTTCCAATTTAGATTCCACTCGAGGGCCTGACGCGTGATGTCCTCGATCGGCCTTCTCACTGTATGCCTAATCCATCTCCAATTACTTCTTCATATTTGTTGTGTAGTAGGTTGTTGGTCGGTTCGCTCCCGGAGTTCCCTGTTGCTTATTCTTTCTGAGCATCTGAACTTCAGTGACGAGCGTGTGCAGTTGTTGGCAAATGTCCGTGGGTTGGAAATCCCTTTCGAAACGCACCAAGCCTCTGAACCATACAGCAGCACTGACTTGACGTTGGTGTTGAAAATCCGGATCTTGTTCGCGCCTTGTGCTGAGTGCAGAGGACCTCCACGCTGGTTTCAGGTTGATGAATACCTGTCTTGCCTTTCCGATCCTGGCTTTGACATCTTCATCAGTGCCTGTGCCGTCTGTAGTTGAAACGGTGCTGCCTAGACAGGTGAAAGAGACTACTTTCTCTAAGTTTTGCCCGTTGATGGTGATTGAGGCTTGTTGTTGGTGGTGGCGGTGTTGGTTTGGTATCTTCATCACCTCTGCCTTCTCCACATTCACTTGAAGTCCCGTCTTCCTTCGCTGCCTCTTCAGTCAACTTGTTGGATTTTGCCTGTAGATCTTCACGTTTGTGTGACATTAGATACAAGTCACCACTGGCGAAATCGAAATCTTCTAGGATCTTTTCATCGGTTCAGCGTATCCCCCCTTCTTGCTCCTCACCGTTTGTTACGTGGCCCAGTTCACTACAATCAAAAATTACACTGGTGATAGTGGACAGCCTTATTTTACTCCTTTCTATCTTCACTTCAAAGGCCTCACTGAGCTTCCCATTGTGAATAATTTGTCATGTGGAGTCTTCATATGGTTGCTGAATGAGATTGATAAAGGTTTGCCGTATTTCACAACATTGGAGCAGTAGCCAAATTACTTCCCGGTCGACGCTGCAGAAGACCTTTCCGAATTCGACGAAGTTGAGGTAGAGAGTTGACTTCCATTCTATACTCTGTTCTATCATGATGCGTAGCGTGGAATTACAAATTGGTCCGCATATGATCTGTTCTTCCTGAATCCTGCCTGTTCCGCCCTTAGTTTTGAATCCAGCACATCCTTTGGTCTCTCTAGGATGATGCGGCTTAATATTTTGCTTGGGGTAGACAGGAGCGTGATTCCACTCCAGATCTCGTAGAGACTTGGGTCGCCCTCCTTCGGGTGCCTCACAAGGCAGCCCTTCTTCCAATCACCAGGTACCTTTACTTCCTTCCAGACCTTCTGCGATAGTAGTATGAGAAAGCCCGCTGTTGTCTCTGCGTCTGCTCTCAGTGCCTCTGGCGGGATTCAATCTGGTCCTGCTGTTTTCCCGCATTTCAGTAGTTTTATGGCCTTCAGGATTTTGACTTTCATCGGAAGGCTTGTGTTCACCGTTAGACCTGTGGCTCGGCTGTTGGCGCTATTCCGGGACGAAGTGCAGGTGGTGGTGGTGATGGTCGATTCAAGAGTTTTTCGAAGTGGTCGGTCCATCGTTTTCTTTGTTCCTCTTCTTTGGTAATTAGGTTTCCTTCATCATCTTTTATTGGTTTCATCCGTGTCGATCTCTTCCCTACCAGATAGTAACCTGGTCACTTGATACAATGTTGTCAGGTCTCTCCCACCTGCAGCCTGTTCTGCTTCACTTGCCAGTGTATCGTAAAACTGTCTTTTGTCTTTCCGTGCACTCTTCTTCACTTCTTTGTCCCATGAAATGTTTTATACATTGTGCTCAGTTCCTCTTGTCGTTGAGCCTCCTTGCACTGGTTTATCTTCTGTTTCACCATCCTCCTCTCCTCTATCAGTTTCCATGTGTCCGTCGAGATCCATTCCTTATCTTCTTTCTTCTTCCTTCCTAATAAGGCCATGCAGGATTCTTTCCACATCTTCAAAGACTTCTAGTGTTCATCCACACAGGTTTCTTCAGGGATGTTCCTCGATATCTCCCATTATGTTTTGGTGGCTGATGTGAAGATTTCCTTTGTAGTTTTATCCTTCAGCTCAGTTTCCGTTCTGTGTGTTGAACTTGAACTGTGGTCTATCACCAACATCTTTGCAGGCCTTCAACTTGATTTAGAAGGTTTCTTGCGCTAGATGGTGAGTGGTCTGAACCTACATCTGCTCCCCTTCTGCACCTTGTGTCCAGTAGGCTGCGTCTCTACGCTCTTGAGATGGAGACGAAGTCGATGTGGTTTGTAGTGTGTCCATCTGGTGTAATCTACGTCAATTAGTGGATAACCTTGTGCATGAACACAGTGCTTCCAGTCACCAAATGGTTGAATGCGCAGGATTCTGCAAACAATTCTCCATTCTCGTTCATTTCCCCGACCGCTTCCCGACCCATGATAAGTTCACTTCCGGTGTTGTCCGCTTCCAGTTTGGCATTTATGTCGCCCATTAAAACTTCGATATCGCCACCTGGGGTGGGTCTTGTCCATTACCGATTGCAGTTGTCTGTAGAATTCTTCCTTCCTCTCTTCATCTGTATTATCTGTAGATGCGTAGCGCAGCATTATAAGGTTGTAACTTTCCTTCTTTTTGAGATGAATCTTGCTTTCATGATCCTGCAGGAGGAGATAGGTTCTCACCGCATTAGGGCCTTTGATGCCCTATAGGACATCATGATAGCCACCCCATAACTCAGTGTGCTCGTGGCTGTCGTCTGAGTAACAATATCGGAGTAGATTACTGACTCTCCAGTTAAGAGTTTGGAGATTCCGGCCCCATTCCACCTGCTTTCTCAGATTCCAAGCACTTTCATGCTATATCTTCTCATCTCTTTTGCAATCTGGGCAGCCTTGCAAGGTTCAAGCATAGTATGGAGGTGATATGTCCCAAGTTTCATTTCACCTTCATCGGGAGAAGACACATAGGCCGACTGGCTTCGCGAAGGCCTTCACCAAACGGCGTAATTTCGTCTCCTCGATTGCAGCGAGGTATTAGTTTGTTTTTATTTTATACATTTTTTCTGCGCTTTGAAGTTTCCATGGTGGTTGTATTGGTTTTCCGGGGTGGGGTTGCTATCCCTATCCCCAACCTTTCCTCCTTACCCGGACTTGGGACCGGCTGGTAACTAGTGAACTAGTAAACCAGGTGGCGTTCCCACGCGGGGAAACCCCAATGGATTTGCAATAGTCAACTGAATCCCACTGTACGCGTGATATCCACATTACCCATGCTAGTTACAATAAAACACCCCACGCAGACCGTTGAAAGTGAGCGGCTCCATGGACCGGTTTGCAACCAGGGTGACAGGACCGAAATAAATGTAAAGTAGGGCAGAAGTCGAATGTGGGATAGCAGCCTCAATAGCTTGCAGGAACACCGCAAGATAATTGATCTTATCATCTTGTTTGGTGTCCTCTCCCTAAAACAACCAGTGCTATAAAGAGGCGGTAGCTTTACGATGAAAAAGGGCGATGAGTACTGCGCAATATGAAGGGGAGTATTCGTTGCAGTAATGCAACACAGGATACTTTGGGCAATAGAAGCACCTTGAGACAAAGCACAACACCTGAGAATGTCACTGATCCAAACGGGACAAGCAGAGAGTACGCACTTCCTCTTACTCCTACCAGACATCGCAGGCTACTGTGGTAGAGAGGCAAGGTCAGCTAAAGCACGTATCATCGGGGAGGTGGAACGAAAATATATTCTTAGTAATCTGCCAGATGGCCACGGCCATAGGGAATCATGGAACCCTCGAATTACCTGCAGCATTAACAGACGCCATGAAACCGAACAATGTGGCTGGCACCTAAAATGCTGCTAGAAGGTTCACCAAACTGCTGAGTAACTCGTTCGTAAGGCACTATAACAATCAGCTTGACGCCTCCACACGTCTACAGCGTAGTATTTATCATGCAAGCCCACATGGCATGACTTCACATGGAAGGTTGAATGGGGGGTCCCGTGCGACCCTGCGAGAGTGATTCAAGGCCTGTCAAGCGAAACGGGAGAGGACAGCCTTTCGGACCACTTGGAACCACGCTGGTAGCAAGAGGGTCATGACGTGTCACGGCAAAAACTGTTTCCGCCAGGCAAACTATAAGGTCACAGAAAGGTTAGGGAATGGAGGGTTGTCTGTCATATAGGAACAAATATCTGTAGCTTGCGCGACCCTATTCCGAAGAAAGCAAAGGCTCCAAGATGAAGAGGGGTGGACTTCGCCGTTATTGCTCACCTGAAAGCCAAAGAAACAACACAGTGTACTCACACGGTTGTCGGGCTCTCCGTGGTACTGTTTAATTACGAAGCGCACAAAATACTTTCCAGGGGCCCTGTAAAGGACGTTGATGAGTGCGTTGGGGCATAAGAAACGGTCGCTCACCATAATTTTCGCTAAGGCGACAGACAGACGGTCCAGAGGTGGGGAAGTATTGGTGACCTATTTATATGCTCATCTAAGAGCCAGAGGCAAGAGACAGTGTGTCCGCCAAGTTTCCAGATTCCTTGTGGTGCTACTTAACCATGACCCTCGCAATATACCTTCTGGGAGTCATATGAAGGTGTCCGATATGTACAGTAGGGCATCACGAATAGGCGCCCATCAAAATTTGTGCGTCCATCTTGGTACCTCATAATTGTGCAGTCCTTGTTGGTGACTCCAACAAACTTGCATATAACCAGGGATAAGAAGTAAGATGTGGCGACAAACCTTTCTATCAGAGGCTTTGAAATGCTCCTTTTCAACAGAAATAGGGAGATAATTCGATGGAAACAACGGCTTATTGGTTGATGACATGAAGTAAGAGCTTTCTATGGGAGAGCGATCACGCCTGTGGTGGCTAAGAAGAAATTGCCCGCAGATGAAGCCAGAGCCTTCCATTTTTTACCCGAATGCGCACTGCTGCCACGACAAGCCAATTTCAAACGCAGACCGCTACCATCACAATGTTTTTGCGTTACTGGCGTAACACAAAGACAGCTACATGGTAAAATAGGGTGTTTTCCAGTCACCACAAACCGTGGAAGGAATCGAAAACTTCAGTGCTTAAAGAGGCCATGGAATCTACCTAGCATTAAGTTTCGAAACCGTAGGCTCAAATCCTACGGTAAGGTATATAAAAAGTCATTTGCGACCGAAGAAAACTATGCCATCAAATATCATACCGAAAACCGGTGAAACTATGGAAAAAACTTATCACAAGACCAAGCCATGAAAGTCTAATAGACACGGCGTTAGCCTAACCGCTAAGCACTCTATTTTTTGGGCAGGTAAACGCAATAATGTATGCGTCACTGAACCAGATTCATGTATTACATTTCGGGGGTGTGGTGAAGGACTGGGTGGTTTGCAGATTTCAGTAATCCAAATGCTTACAGAACTATACAGACTCAGTCAGGTGAAATCCCCTAGCTGGAATGACATGGGAGTAGTGGCAGTACGAAATGGTCCTGAAGTCCCATGCGTAAACACATGTAATCTGTTTCGTATTGACTGGAAATAGGTCACCTCCACAAGTAATTAAAGTGACCTATTCTCTCGCCAGTATAACGGAGAAGACCAATAAAATACCGGTGATACCGGGTCAATAGCTTTACTGTTCATACTTTCCATGGTGCTGGAAAGAATAGCTGTGAATCTTGTTTGGGACTGCCGAAGGGGAAAGAATGGTGCCTGTCCAGCTGAACAGGGTTTCAATGCCGGGTGGTTATGTGCCGCAAGGCTGGTACTCAATTTTAGTGAACAGACCACTCAATGAGACAAAAGTGAGCAGTCTAGGTCAGTCCTCTAAGTCTAGCGAGGGCCCCTGGTTGTGTCCCACTAAACCCCGTGCTGGCTGAACCTACAAAAGCAAGCGTTAATGAGCTACTCGTTGCTTGGTTTCACGCTAATGCAGAGTACAGAGCCTTTTTCAACAAATTAGGCAGGTTTTGTAGACCTTGAGGAGCCCATGTGCAGGGATATCTCGAGGTGTGATACTAGAGCCACCACTGTTTCCACTGTTCGTCAACAATATAGCTGTACAAATCTCATCATCTATCCTTTCATGTGACTGTAACATGAAAATACGGTTGACAATAAATGAGGGGTAGGGCATTAGAATACTCCAAGGTGCTATGTTGCATTTGAAGTCTTGCAGAGGTGAAAACGATTTGAGACTCAAGCTGAAGAACAAATAGGCACAACGTAGAACACAGAAAGGAATAAAAGATCACATTACTTTTGGAAACGGTGAAGTAATTTTGTAATTCAGGAAGAAGGTTAATCATATATAGCCTGAACCAAGTGCAAGTTTCCAGTCAACAACTGAAGACAATGACACTTATAAAGATAAGCGCGATCTGAAGGACGGAGGTGACTGGAAGCAAATATAGCTTCACAAGCTTCTCCAAAATCAGTAGCCTAGGTTTTGACTAGGTTCAACGTTGATGCTGACCTTCATAGTTTAACTGGACTTGCTGGACTGAAGGCACATGGTCAAGGACCCATGTCATTTGACACACTTTGGTGCTAAGTGGAACTGGTCCTAATCAATCCTCTAGTCGGCTAGCCGGAAAGTGTCGGTATTTTGACATGACCTCTCAAATGTACTATTCCATCTGACTACGCTACTGTGTTTTTCCTTGGTCTCGTGTTCGCGGGTACATTACAAGTACGGAAAATTAGTGATTGACCACTGTGTCGGTCAAGTCCGCACAAGGACACTTCCTAAACAGTTGAATGAATCGAGGCTCCTTGGACGGAGCGACAAGTTGTTGCGAAACAAATTTGAAATTGCAGTGGTCCTCACACATAGAGATGTAACGGGAAAGTAAGTCAAATAGTTTGAAAGATGGCAGATATCACTGTTAAGTTTAAAGTTCTGCAAACTGTTCTAACACCAACCCCATAGACTCAGAGGTCAACCACCTATCTTTCGCATGTATTGAGTAGGAGCCAGTGGAATTTCAATTGAGAACACAGTGGTGTAGCCGGTCAGGAATCTTGCGCTTGATGGGTCGTAGCAAAATCTCGAGATGCCTGTACTCTTTGGCTAGGGGGCCACATATAGGCGACGCGAAACAACATGATAACGCATTATGTGGCGTGGCTCCTAATCCATTTGTTTTCAGCTTAGGGAGTCCACTGAGATTACTGAGGTCAATATCATCGTGAAACTTCATTGGGCCTTGGGGCAAGGTCTCTGGGGAGATATTTACTGATACAAGGGAATGGCATCAGATGTCAACCACATCATACGATTTCAAATAAGGAGACGCAAAGCTTTTCCTCCTAATTATTCCTCACGGTCTTCAAAACTCACATGAAGCCACACTTGAGGGTGCTCAACGCGAAAGTAGCTTTGTCTAATAAAGTCAAATGAACTTTGAGGGAGTTTCAGAAATGAATGAGAAAGAAAGTTGCTGGACCAACAGGCAAGAAATACACACAACTCTTACCGTGCAAGGTGATGCGTCAGACGGACCAGCCTGACAAGAACGGATTATCGGGCCAAGACAGTCTTGTGGGAACTCCACCTGCAGGCTGTTCCTGGGAGCCAGTGACAAATTAAGATCTAACTTTTCTCACAAATCATACGCCATGGAATATCCTGTCAAAAGAAACAGCCACAGCTTCCTGAGTTGGGTGTCTCGGGGGTATAGTGGACAACATGCACTAGCCCATACGCTTTCCAACAACATAGGGTGGTGGCAACTGAACACATACCTTTTGTCCCTGCACCTCCTTATTCTATTAACTACAATGCTGCCCACCCACCTTTCGTATTTCCGCCATTAACATCACCATTCTCCATCAGTACTTTACACACCTCTCTTTTTCCCTGTCCAGCCATAGCCGCATGTATAATCTCTCGCACTGCTTTTGAAAAACGCAACAGTGCTTATCTACAGGGTTCTATAAAGATGGGAGCTCCGAAAGTTTTATGATCTTACCAACAGCTCCGTTGTCTCCCAGAGTACACTAGCCCACAATATGTAAAAGAAAACCAAAACAACCAGTGTTCCCACAGCCGTAAGCGGTGAAAGTGAAAAAAACTCTTGCAGCAACTGAGTAGTTTTGACTAGAGAAAAGGAACCGAGCCTTAAGATCAAGATGCCGGAGTTCACAAGGTATAAAATTCTCTCATTCGCATTACCTATATTAGAATCTTGATATTTGGAGATATTTAACCCAAAAATATTAATCTCAAGCTGCGCAAAGAGTTTATTTTTTCACCTCATATTCTCAACCTTAATAATTGGTAAAATTTCTATCTGTTTGATCACTTTTGAAAATATGTAGTTACCTTTGTTTTTCCTAATGAAAAACAAAATGACCTTCAAAGTCTATCACCTTCCAACCAATATCGACTAGATTAGCACACACTGGCGTTTGTTTAATGTCATGTCAGTGGTTACTAATCTTTTCATCATTGTGCACGTTGAGTGTGCTGTTCAGCGAATGTAAGTAGTAGACCAACTTCGACGAAGTTGTCTGAGTGGGTAAAATGCAATAAATTATATTGGTCAAGAGATCATTTAGACAAAGTCGATTTACTACCCCTTGAGAGGTAGAGCCAGATCTGGCTCTAAAGCTGTTGGCGGGGTGCATTTCACTTAGCTTGATGGAAGAAAATAATTTGGGGGTTAATATTAGCTATGAATTAGAAATAAAATCGCTCTGTAACGCGACTGAAGTCAAACCATTCCAGTCACTTCATGTAGCTTTACATTTAAGGAATTAATTCTTTCAATCAAGAGCTGACGAGACTAACTATGATCCCCATACACTGCCTAGTACCTACATTACTCTAGTCAGTAGTTTTTCGCCTCTGTCCTTGAAAGCTTCTGGTGGCAAAGTATCAGGTCCTGCATTTCACCGTTTCAGATTCGAAACAGTTTTCTCAACTGCGAGGAGAGTTGAAGGACCGATATCCACGTTTCATTCAGGTTCTGGCTGAATGTTGGGCTACTAAAGGGTTGCTGTGGGTCAGTTGAATTTTCCCTGAAAGTGTTCTGGTAAGCATCCCATCCATCTGTCGTTGGAGGTTATCAGCGTCCCATCTTTTTTAGGTAATGGTCTCACTCACCATTGTCTTCTTGCTAATATCTTCAACAATCCTAAATAATTACTGAGTATTATGCAATGCTGATGCTTTCTGCAGGTCTTTCAATTTCGCCACCCATCAGTATTGGTGGTTATTGTGAAGACTCTTGGTTAACTTAGTCCAAGTTACTTTCGCTCCCCATTTTGGTAAGAAACGAATTGTTTGAGTCTCTAGCCCTCAGTCAGTTTGAATAAGATTTCGGAGATCCGACAACGTCATCTAACCCTTGCTTATTGTTTACAAGCTGTCTGCCGCTGTTCCCACTGCAGATTCTTTATCACGTCAGGTTCTTTCAGGATGAGGACGCTGTTTAGATCAGGTAAAAAGTTAGCTCTTTCCTCCTTAAATGCTTGTTTCACTTTCTCACCTTGTAGTCGAGCACACGCAAAGTTCACGCTTTTCTGTGTTTCGCAATCAGTAAGATGTAGGTATACACGAGCCTGTACTAACCTGTAGTTGGAGTCCCAATCGGTACTCCAAAATGAGCAGCAATGCTCAAACGAGAGCCTGCAGCAATGTGATTTATCTTTATCCATTGTTATTTTGATGTTTGTGGACACTGTGTAAGGCAGGGTCTCTTCACGTGCTTGAAGTTAGTGACCAGAAACAAGTGATTGTAAGAACGAAATTGCAACAAACGGTCACTGCTGGTTCGTTTTCACGGGATCCCACAGACATCCCTAAGATACCTTTTCGATTGCCTCAGCTTTCCTACTTGAGTGTTGAAGTCGTCTGCCAAAATGACCACGTCGGAATGTTTTGCTTTTTTTTTGGCGAAATTGACAGGTTCTGATAGAATTTCCCGCTTGCATCATTCGAACTGCAGTCTGTGGAACTTTTCCATAAGTCAAAATTTTTTCACCAAGTTAGGATTACGAGTTATCAAAAACAATAATAACCTAGTTTTGAACATTTTAATATACAAATGATGTTTCATGAATGTACAGAAAGATCTTTTTTTATTTTCAGAGATGAATGGATTTTAACCAAGAGTATTTTTATTTAAGCATAATCCTAACAGGCTTTGGTCTACATTTTTATCTTCACATTTAATCCTCCGGTCTATTTAGATTACTGTATACAATCAGGCACGCTACTGGTTTTTAAATATGTAAACAGTGATTTAATATAATGGACAATATACAGGTAAAATGACTGATGACCAATTTAACAAGCATGAATGAACAAATGCCACTAACATTGATATCCGGTGTAAACTCTATCATGTCTGTTCTTTTTTCGTACTCGACAAACATGATTTGTAATACAATAATTTAAGTTCTCCCAATATTTTGCATTAAATCCATATTACTGATAGTAATTGTTTGTTTCACTGTGTTCTGGAGCCTAAATTCGTGATTCTACCTTGATTTTATTTCATAATATATTTATAATATGTGGTAGTTCTATGAGGAGATCGCAGTTGTTTCTTGTGTTCATCAAGTTTCTCAATGATCTTGGATGTTCCTACTTGTGTAAAACCAGTTTCTATTTCCATGCTTTGTTTTAAAGCAACTGTTAATTAGGTGTAGAAAGTAAACATACACAGCAAAAATACCTCTGTATAGAATTTTCAGATTCAGTTTGCAGTTCGAATCTAGTAGGATTTGTGGCTGATTGGTTTAGGGAGTTAACTTTCAACCAGTGGATCGGGGGTTCGTACATTGCTTCATCTACCGAGGTTTGAGCAGCCAAGTAGTATCACCAGCCCTCACACAGTAGGTGTGGCTCATTGCCTACTGCACGAATGTGGACAAGGTTGCTGAGTCGATTTTGATACGTTTTTATCATGTACCGTTTAATCATTAGGGGTATATGTAACACTATATAGCATTGAACTGTTTTTAAGAGCAACTAGTTTGTAACCGATGTGTTTGGTTATTCAACAAGATTATTCGCTTTTATCAGTTATATACCATTATTGCACTACTCAATAAATATTTTCTAAAGGAGGCACGTGTTTTAACACGTGCTGGCCTACAATTTATGGTTTTTCGGTTAGAAGTGAGTTTCGACGTTTGTATAGCACTCCTGAACACATATAATCCGTAAGTACTTCGATTTTCCTTGGCATTTTCAGATTACCCTGCGCGTATAGTGGATTTAAGTGATTCAAAAAGTTTGTCTTTACTGCTTAACTACTCACACATCGAAGGAACATTAGTCCTACAGAATTTTGATGATATCTGCTGCCTTAGAAACCATTGTAGTCTGTCAAGTTTGGTCGAAATCACTGGTCGCCTGATTATTGAACATGGCAATTGCTCTGAAGACCTATCTACTTTGCTACCAAATCTAACCGTTATACGAAATCCAAGTAGTGTACCTTCGAAACCCAAACAAGGGATTCACCAAATATCAGATTACAGTTTGATAATCAGGCATACGAAGTTGAAAGGCTTAGGTTTACACAAGCTGAAAACTTTAAAATCTAAACGCATTGCACTCATCGATAACCCTCTTATGTGTTTTGTGGATACTGTGGACTGGGATGTCTTAACTATCAGTTCAACCTCTGAACTCACGAGCTTATATTATCCTGATGGAGAATACTTTATGCAGTATCATATACGTGACTTCTGCCCTGATCAGTGTCCAACAAACTGCTCAGCTTCTTATGGAAAGGATTCATTATGGTCCTCTTGTTGGTCGAAAAACGTCTGTCAAGCTAGTAAGTTTTATCAAACTATATAATAACAAACATATGGTGGTAAGCTAGTTTTGAGTACCTTTTGGTTAAATTTTTTGGACCTTAGTCATTTAAGCCTGATAGCAAAAATCAAATATTTTAGTCAATTTTTTTTTTATGGGAACTGGTGTGCATGTAAGTGCTAGTATCTTACTTCTTATTTTAACGTTGATTTTGATTCCTAAAAAATATTTTTTTGAACACTTTCAAACTACTGAGCCAAAATTGAAGTGAACAGCTTCAATAATTACGTTTGTAAACGTCCCAATAGGTTTTTGACAGACGTTTAGATTTATTTATACCGAAGTTTTTCTTGTGAAATTGTGATAAATGATGCAGGAGGTTACAAAAACAGTGGTGTTTACGATATCAATCAGTTGATCGGTCAACCATTACTTTTTAAAGGATTTTTAACTACAAATCAGTTTACTACTCTGTGTACTGTCATTATGAATCATGTATATACGGTGGTTGTATAGATTGGGTCTAAATATTGCCTGCCATTCTTACTTAAGAAAATCTAAGACTTGCATTATTTCCTAGTTAAACATCACCATTGTCTGCAGGTGAAATCTGGCTGAGATCAATAGGAAAGTGAAATGCTCAAAATGGATTTAAAATTGTGGGAATAACTTAGCAACGTAAAGGTTTCTTACCTATTAACTAAATATAAACCGTAAATTATGTTCGAAACGTTATCCAGTAAGTAATACTGTTTCACTGTCTGACACGTCTAATAAACAGATTAAAATGGAATAACCTTCAATTCTGTTCTTTCTTACACTTTTGTAGAATGTAGCTACATCTGCACAAATAATGGACTAACATGCCATCTAGATGATCCACAAAAATGTTGTGATTCAGAGTGTTGTGGTGGCTGTTTTGGTTCATCACCCAACAATTGTTTGAGCTGTAAACATGTCAAACTGAATGAAACTTGCCTAAGTCGTTGCCCCGCATCATATTATTTGGTAAGGCAGTTCATATTGATCAGATTATTCGTTACCGTTTCTTATAATTCTGTATTCCTTGAAACAACCAAGAAATGCGCATCACGTTTAACTAACTTTCTCAACGTGAAAAATTCAGCAATAAAAGCACACTAATCAGAATAATTGGAAAAGATTTACTTTAGCAGGTAAACGTTGTACTGGTTTCCTTATTTTGTAAGCCTTCAAATGTTAACTGGCTGTACATGACTGCTTTACTTCGTCGAGTCAGTTGGGATTTCTAGGCTCAGTGGTTTAGGGAGATAAAGTTCAACCATTAGGTCACGAGTTCGACCACCACTCCACCTACCGAGGTTTGGACAGTCAGGTAGTGTCCTTGCCTTCACACAATAAGTGTAGCTCATTGCCTACTCCACGAATGTGCACGAGGTTGCGGAGTGGATTTTGATTATACCATTGGGAAAACTTTCATTTAATTCGATGAAAGTTCAGTTCATTATAAAGCAGTTATACTTGGCAGGTGGTGCAGAAAGAGTGAATACATTGATTGTGTGTATATTTAACAAGCTGGACTTAAACGTTAGAAAAAACTTTCATAATCACTGCTTTTACGGAAAGACTTATAGTTTCTTCAACAACTTTTTCCATGATCATTTCGAATACTCAACGAGTAGTTATATCAGCGTTCACTGTTATTGGATCAGTTTAGTCAATTAGTGGTTTAATTCCATGTTTAAATGCTTGTTGAACATTTCACACAGTTAAACAGGATTATTTACTACTACTGTTTCAAACGAAATTTATTGTTTATATCTACATCAAAACTAACTCCAATGATTGATAGAATTCGGTCAATACTCAGGAATAGATGACGAGTAATTGGTTCAGTCAGTCAGTATTGACATCGAAATTAACATTACTGAGCAACGATTCAGGCTGTCACACCTGATGTCTGCACATCATGTGAGAATAAACCCAGGTAAAACAAAGGAGTAAAAAGAAAAGCAGCGAAAAGTGATAGAGAGTTGTAAAAAGAGAACCAGGAGGAGTTGGACAATAATGAATTTCTTCGTGGCATTTCTGGTAAAGTTGATGTACGGATATGTCTGGGCGATTGGGATCGATCCTGAGCAGTATTACATATAGTCGCTAATCACAGGTTTCGGTGGTCATGTATACCTTAACCAGAAAGTCTGAATTTCCCTACTCACCTCAGATCAACACTGTAAAGGTTTATGGGCTGATGCCATGTCCTAGTCTGTCCGCCTCTAACCTTTTTCCAGTCTGAACCTACGTCATCTAACATTGTGTGATGGGATAAGTTGTGACCGAGTATGCGTAACACATCGCAGGCATCTGAGTCGATGACAGTTCGCAACCCCACCAACTGAATTTTCTCTTCTTCTCAAAACTCTGCACATGATGTCTACGTTGCTGTCGCGATGGCACAACGGACCAGTGCCTATGCCTTGAAGACAACGGTGGTTGAACGTCTGAAGCTTTGTAACGTTGTCTATCTTGAATGGTCATGCTTCTCAGCCATGTAGTCGGACAGAGCAAACTGTAGCGCAGTACACTCAGTCATTGATAGGCAACTGGATATCACAGTGACGCAATAAATAAGGCAGGTTTGCAAAAGCCGATGGTGGCTTTTGTATCCGTGTCTAGATTTCTTCGGTGGCTGACTCACAGGGGTTGATATGACCTTCCAGGTAAGTGGAGTGGTTAACGCACTCAACCACTTTACTGTCTATTGTTAAGCGAGGTGTCAATGCAGACGAGTCTTGGAGAAGGAATTCGGATTTAGCTGGTGAGAAACACATCCCAAAGATTGTCAAATTGCCAGCCAAGGTTCCCAGTAGACTGTGAATCCTTTCAGTATCTTCATCTAACAAGACTATGTCATCTGTGTACTGTGGGTCCACTAAATAACCGCCTGTGACAAGATCAATCCCTGATGTCAGATGAGGATAGGGGGACCTCCATAGACAAGCGTATGAGAGATTGGATAAGAATAGAGAGAGCGGATACCCTTGATGGACACCACTCAAAGTATATGACTCACGTGATAAGTCACCATATGCTCTGATGCGCCCACGAGTGTTTAAATATATGGCTTTCAACAGGGTGATGTGCTAGACCGGCTCCCCTTTCGGTGGCAAACTGCTGTAACACTTCGACCGACAAGGTCGTATGTCAACTTCAGCTAGTGTCGGGTACCGGTGGGAGTACGTAAGTTTCAGAGTCTGGTGGGGTATAAATATCTGGTCAGCCCACCTGTGGTGAGATCTGAAACGTGACTGGTTGTCTCGTTTTTGATGTTAACGAAGAATCCTTAACCGTTGGTTTCTTTGACTTTAGAAACCGCAGCTGGGTAGTCTACATTCCTGCACAAGTCAAATCAACTGCTCAGCAAGGCGTATCTGCCGCGTGAAAGGAAGTGTTGTATCTGCAGAGATTTTAATCAGCGTCACTTAATGCTGTAGTGAGATAGGTGTTACCAGTGAGCTGTTCTGGACACTACTGATTTCCCTTAGGAATGGATTGCATACATGGCTTGGGTACTAGAGAGCATCGCACTACATGTTGTTTAGTCCTGTCTACTGACCAAATTCTGTCGACCACTCGAGTTACATTTATTGTGAATATGAGCAATGAATTTTTTTGAAAAATCATCTAGCAAATAATCCCGTTTTGCGGTATGAAATTTTTAACAAAGAAATAAACATGGAATTGCGCATTACCATAGTGCGCAAATTCCACTCCTACAGTAACTAGTGAATTACTTTATTGATGGGTGCAAATAACTGGTAGTTTCTCGTAGTTTATGCTGCTGAGGTGGTGCAATTCTTGGATACTTTATTAGTCTGATAATAGATGGTATGAATAAAGGTATCACGAAAAGCTTTTCTGTATTAGTCAGTTGTTTCATTGTGATTTCAGTGTTTTTGTTAGTATATACTGTCAGCAGTTTTCAGAGATAATGGCAGAATATTCAGGTTTGTCATCAGTAAATCATCTATTTGGCGACATTTTTCAGCTTTAAAGAAATTCTTGATGCAGCGGAACCATTTTCACGGACTTTGATGTTCATGTCACTATTTCTTATTCAAATAAAAATACAGGTTATTACTTTTTACTAAAACTTTGTGAATATTCCGTCCTTTGCTGAACAATGCTTTCTTGTCGAGCTTTGCATTTTTGTGGCTGTGTCAATTTGAGTATGTTAAAGTCAAAATAACATTGTAATTACACTTTTATTGATTTGCTTTTGTAGACAGACAACACTGTTCATCCAGTTATTATTATCAATAGTTAACAAGAATAAATGCTTTTCTAAAACGATCTTTATATAAAATTAGTATTATGTTACATTTCCTACAGAGTCATTGTTTAACAAATGTTTGCTTCATTTTATTTCTTCTTAGTTGAATAATATTTATTGTATAACACGTGATGAATGCTTAAATCGTCAGGAAGTGGTGAAAAGTGGAAATGATCATTACTTCGTTAATTATTCTATATTTAATTCAAATTGTGTATCCAAATGCCCATTAGGATATGCACGTTCGGCATCTGGAGAATGTTTATATTGTCCTGAATCAAAATGTATTAAACGATGTAAGTTTATTCATGAGCATTGCTTCAGTTTTCAGACATGTGAAGAGGTTGTGGGCATACTAAGCCACTGTCAACCAAACCTTTTACAGGTTATCTTAACAGAAACAAGATTAGATTTAAAACAGTTATGGATAACTGAATGAATATATAGCAATAATGGATAGATTGACTGACTGTTGATCCGATTCATGGAAGGAAGTGTAACCTGTTAGTTGGATGGAGGCAATCGACAGGAAGCCCTAGACCTAGGTTTTCGTGCTTTTTAACACTCTTCAGCGAGACGTATCTGTGACCTCGACGGAATTAATGTCCCGCTTGGGATTCGAACTTGTATCACAATGCTGCAGTCAGAGGTGGTACCATTGAGTAATTCGGGCTGCGGTTGACCTCCTGTAGAATTGGATTACATACACTAATAGGTCACTGGAAGATATCCAACTTCATCTTATCTAGTCTTATGTTTGGAAAGTGTGCTACTGAATTGCTAACAGAGGTAAAGCTAAACTATTAAAAAGGAGTAGGTATTTGTTCCGACTATTTGTTATTTACTAAGATATTCATCTCTTGTCATCCAAAAGACACTTACCTAATCAAACAGCTATGTGATTCACGGTAATCGAATCTTGATCATTTAGCTGTTTTCATATTTTAAAAATAAGGAAGATATACTCATCAACACCATTGATTAAAATGTTTGCCTCAGTATTTTTCCTGAGGTGTTATCTTATTTCCTTTTACATTTGTAGCTATTTGTAAGTTGTCTTTATGATGAGATTTAAAAAAGCACAGATACTCAGTCATCAGTACGTGTATTGGACTGGTCAAACTACCAACCATAATTACTAGGCAAAGAGACAGTCAACGTAGAACCTCGCACACAAGTGCACAGGTTCAAGTTGTCACACCGCAGTACCATAGAAAGAACAAGTGGATAGAAAAAGGTCGATATCAAAGTAGATAAAGTTGTGTGGGACAATAAATAAATTGAAGATAAAGCTTAATGCAAATATCCAACCTTTCGAAGACGTTACGGAGTAAATACATCTGGGCCGCTGCAACCGATTTGCAGCCATTCCACTGAGGTTCCTCACCCACTGACACCTATCATCTTGACGACTCTGGTTATGCAGTCTACATGTTCCCATACCGCTCAGACCAACAGTCAGGGACTTCATTGACTGGTGCCACGTGTTGGTCTGTCTACCCTGAACCCTCTTCCAGCTTAGTCCAACTTCCAGCAATCCATATCGAGATAGGCGGTGCTTCAGCATGCGCAACACATTCCCAAGCCATCTCAGTCGATGAAAGTTTACAACTTCATCGGCTGGCTTGCCTATCTTACCGGGTACCCTTCGCCTGACCTCAGTATTGCTTATCATACTCATTTACTGGTAAAATGCTTAAAGAGTACAGTTACAATCTTCATTGTTATTTAGTCGTTAGACTGCTGCTAGTCTCTCATTTCCCTGTTGTATGATTTCGGTATCCAGGTCTAATAGCATCTTGATTTTCGTAACGCTGCTTCATTTGTATCAGCAAGTATTACTGTCTTTAACAGATATCCTAATGGTTATTACTCCAGTTGGTATGACTGCAGTGTGTTTTTCATTTTGTTGTGTTTCTACCTGTGAACTTGTAGCTCAGTGGTTTTAGCCATTGACTTCCAACAAGCTGATCTTGAGTTCTGGCTCCACTCTATTTACCAAGATTTAGACAGCCAGGGAGTACGTATCATTGCTTTCACACAAAGGGTGTAGCTCATTGCTTATTGCACGCTCATGCACGTTTTTCTGAGTTCATTACGATTTTCGGTGGACATTTGTTTCTAAGTGGATACAAATGATTTCTTTCTTAATTTTATTTAATTGCAACTATAAACTTGTTTACAAGCTTATACAATATGAATATAATGTGACCACTGTCTAACAGAAACAATACTGCAGACGCTGTGATTGTTATCTAAGCAAAGGATTATTATTCTATGTCTTACCTGTAGAAGCATTGTTACGAGTTTATTCACCATTTGCACAGCACATGTTCATTTTCGTTTCACTCTCTTTTTATTTCATTTTTCTACTCTGTGTGTTACGGTGGAGTTGTGGCTTTTTGGTTTAGGAAGATAACTTTCACCCAGAAGGTCACGGATTCGAAGACCGTTCCACCTACCAAGGTTTGGGCAGCCAGGTATTATCACTAGACGCCCTCACACAATAAGTGTGGCTCATTACCTATTGCACGAATGTGCACAAAGTCTCTAAGTGGATTTCGATTCGTGTGTGTTGCATACTTCCTACTTATATATTAACAGTATACTTACAAATTTCGGACTAATTCTTCAAATAATTATCTGTAAACCTGCGTAGGTTGTTTAAGACTAAAAAGCTACATTCAGTTGCTACTGAATTTATACGTATGATCGATTTCGACTGGAAACAGATCTGGTTAAACAGCTAATGTAATTAGGCCCGTACAATTATTAGTTTGCTTCTCCCACGGTTACCAGGTGCAAAAATGGCGGTTGAATTTAAAATCAGGATGTAATTTGAATTTAGTATATGATTGTTTAGTTAATGGACCTTCATGACAGTAGCCAAAAAGTCAGTGATCCAAATTTTTATCAGAGAGTCGGTGGAAAATTTCAAATAACTCACTATTTTTTTTTCCTTACAAGTCAACCATTTACCTGAAATCAGCAATTCTTTTTCGTTCTTAAGGTAATTGTATTTTTTCTAAAATTTGTTTTAGCTTGTGGTGACATACACGTGTATAAAGTTTCAGATCTCATACAAGTTCAAGGATGCGTTACAGCTCAGTCAATTTTGATCAGCCTGCGTGATTGTGAAGGTTAGTTTCACATTTTAAGCTGTCTCTTTCTCTCTCTCTCTTTTCCGCTATAGGTTGCCATATAATTTGGCAGTTGAATGACACAAAAATATTCTCCTCCAGGTTGGAGAACTCTGTATTCATTACTATCGAATACATCCTGATGGCGATCAAAGATCATTTATGTATAAAATTGTATAGTTTTATTGATTTAAAAACTAGTAATGTATTATTTATACTATTAATGATAGATGGTGGCTAGCAGTGGAGTCCAGGACGCGTGTTTTGTCCTATTCGGGACTCGTCAGCTGGATGTACCTACTTCTGACAGATCGATATTGCTCCCACTAAGACTCGAACATCGGACCGACCTCTTCAAACACCAAGGCGCTATCCACCAGACCACCGAGTCATGATAACCACTTCTCTTAGGATGAGTGTAGTTTATATGATGTTGCAGTATCGAGGCATCCACATGGGAGCTCATATTTCAATAGAGACCGGTCAATTTGGTCTAATTAACGACAGGATAAGACAGTATTAATGCTAACCTGGAGGAAATATTTACAGGATAAAGTGTGCTTCAATATCTGTGTTTCTTTTCTCTTGGTTCAATTTTAACTTTCTAATTCTTCCTTATAAACTTTTGTAATCAACGATCTAGATACACATACTTCAGAATTTATCAATGCATTTTCGGATCTTGAAGAAATCTATACAAGTCTGCATGTAGTTAGTTCTGATTCTTTACAATCATTGACATTTCTACGATCGTTACGTGTTATACATGGATTACAACGGGATGGAAATCTTCCCAATAGTCCAACAACGTATGTTTGTGAGATTTTCTTTGTTGTTAGTCCCGTTTATTAAATATTTGTATTCAGTGTTTATTTGCATGTGTTAAAATAGTCAAATCTGACCTTTGCTATGCTTGCTTAATTATTCGATACCTATCTCGTATATAGGCTGGTGTGATGCTAGTAATAGGCTTTTTGATATCCCCTTATAGATTGAATTCCCGTTCTTTCATGTGATTACTCAGTAATGATGGGAAGATATTAGCTAATATTGTTAACCAGGGTGACTAGTAGTACTTATGCAATCTCCAGTTTCCCTTTAAATTAACAGAGGTTTTGTTTGCATTTTCATGTATCTGGATCACAAACTTTCTCACTCAAGGATCATTGATTTATGTGGTATGTTTAAACGCGAGGCTTTTCATTTATTCATCGCTTTGTGTTCAAACCGGAAAACGGTCACTGGCATTTGCTCATTGAGTATCAAATCTGAGAGAAAATCGTGTTGTGAAGTTCTGTGTGTGGTGATTTAGCAATCTCTATGAGTCTGCCAACCGTCCTCTTCACTGTGTGGTTCTGAAGTGATGCAATTTAGAATTTTAGATGGAGAAATAATTTCTACGTTCAAAGAAGCTGATGATAGACCACAGTTCAAGTTCAACACACAGAAACTGAAGAACGAAACTACAAGGGACATCTTCACGCCAGACAGGAAGAAATGGGAGACATTAAGCAACATCCCTGAGGAAATCTACGTGGAAGAACACTGGGACTTCTTGAAAGAGATTTGGCAAAAAACCTGCATAACCGTCCTAGGAATGAAGAAGAAACAAGACAAGGAATGGGTCTCGACAGACACACGGAAGCTGATAGAGGAAGGAGAGGAAGATGGTGATGGTGAAGCAGAAGACGAACCGGTGCAATTCAGTGCAAGGATGAACAACGAAAAGAGGGACTGAGTACAACATATAAAACAATACACTGGACAAAGAAGTGAAGAAGAGTGCACGCAAAGACAAAAGACACATCTATGACACACTGGCAACTGAAGCTGAACAGGATGCAGGTAGGAGAGACCTGACAACATTGTACCAAATAACCAGGTTACTATCTGGGAAGAGATCAACGCAAATGCAACCAATAAAAGATAGTGAAGGAAACTTAGTTACGAAAGATGACAGAAAAACGAAACAATAGGCTGACCACTTCAAAAATCTCTTGAATTGACCACCACCACCACCACCACCTGCAACTCGTCCAGATGCGCTGGATTCAAAACTACCACCGGAATAGGCTGGCTGGCTGGCTGGCTTCAGGAAGAACAAATCATGTGTGGATCAAATTGCAATGCTACGCTACTCTACCTATCATCGAAGAACAAAGCATTAATGGCAGTCAACTCTCTACATCAACTTCATCGACTTTGAAAAGGCCTTCGACAGCGTCGACCGAGAAGTAATGTGGAAACTGCTTCAACACTTCGGTTTTAGTGCCACAAACTTTTATCAACCTCATTCGACAGCTATATGAAGACACCACATACCAATTGATTCACAATGGAAAGCTCAGTGACATCTTTGAAGTGAAGAGAGGAGTAAGACAAGGTTGCCTAATATCACCCATGATCTTCCTGATTGTAGTCGAATGGATAGGATCATGCAACAAACTGTGAGGAGCGAGAAGGGGAGCATACGCTGGCTGGATCGATGTAAAGACTCCAGGAGAAGATTTGGATTTTGTCGATGATTCATGTCTAATGTCGCACAAACTCGAAGATCTACAGGCAAAAACTAACAGGTTGACAGAAGGGGCAGCAAAGAAAGAGGGGACCTCAAGTGGATGTAGAGAAGACGGAGTTGATGAAGATACACCCAACCGACAACAACATCAACAACAAGAGGCACCAATCACCATCAACAGGAGAAACCTAAAGAAAGTAATCTCTTTCACCTACCTACCTACCTACCTACCTACCTACCTACCTACCTACCTACCTACCTACCTACCTACCTACCTACCTACCTACCTACCTACCTACCTACCTACCTACCTACCTACCTACCTACCTACCTACCTACCTACCTACCTACCTACCTACCTACCTACCTACCTACCTACCTACCTACCTACCTACCTACCTACCTACCTACCTACCTACCTACCTGCCTAGGCAGCATCGTTCCAACTACAGGCGGTGGCACAGATGAGGATGTCAAAGCCAGGATCAGATAAGCAGCACAGGCTTTCATTAATCTGAAATCAGTGTAGAGATCTACTGCACTGCACTGCACTCAGCATAAAGCGTAAACGAGATCCGGATTTTCAACACCAATCCAGTCTAATCAGTGCTCCTATATGGTTCAGAAACGGGGCGCGTTATGAAAGGGATTTCCAACAAACTACAGACATTCATCAACAGCTGCTGCCTACGCTCACTCGATACTGAAGATCAGATGGATGGTCAGAAAGAATAAGCAAGAAAGAACTCTGGCTGGAAACAAACCAATCAAGAACCTGAACCTATCGCCCAACAAATATGCAGAAGACGATAGTGGAGATGGACCGGGCATACACTGAGAAGGCTGACTGGGTACATCACGCCCCGGTCCAAACCCTCGAGTGGAATGGAAATGGGAAACGACTAGTTGGGCGTCCGAGGTGAGGGTGACATGGAGGAGATCATGTGAGGAAGAAATGAAAGCTTTTGGGCAGTTGTAGAGCCAGGTTGGGAGGAATGAAGAGAAGAGAGTGAAATGGAGGTGTGCTACTGAAGCCCTATGTTCCACCGGGTACCAAAGTGAATAATGATAATAGTTTCTACGAAAAGTCCTGGCCAAATTTTCCATTACTGAACTGATCAGTGGTGGTTCAAACTTCTCCACATATCAGCAACCGAGATATCTCTAATGTGGTGCCTAAAAACCGCTTACCAGCGTTGGAAATTCTCCTGTCGCAAACATAAGTAAGCCAAATATCACAGAGATCTAAAATATCAAACCTGACCGCTTTAAGGCTTTGAGGGCTTATGAAAATTTTAATATTAAGGCTTGAAGTGAACGATTTGTTTGACGTTGTAATCTTCAGTAGAAAACTAGATGAATAAAAACGATGCAGACAAAATGAATAAGTACAAAAAGTAAGAGGGATTCAGCAAGTTAGTTTCTGTGATTCCTATGGATGATGGATGCACAGTGTCTACCTGTTTGTACTTGAGCCACTCATTTACTGACCATCAAGTAATGCTAACAAAGAAAGCGGTATGATGAGTTTGTGAACCGAGAATAGATGTATTTGTGATGATTCTCAAGGATTGACTTTAAAGGCCACCCTGGCAACACATGGAATAACCAATCAGACTTGTGAATTTTATGAAAATCTTCCTTTCCAACCGAAATGAAGAAACCTGATTGGTTATTTCTATGGTTGCTATGATGGCCTTTAAAGTCGTCCATTTCAAGTATTACCGTATAGTGTATTCTGTTCTATTTGTGGAGAGTGTAACAAAAGTGGTCGTGACGTGATGCACCAGTTATCCAAGTTGTTTGGCTACCTAGATTTTTGCACTCCATTTCACCAGTTTACTAAAGTTGAGGCATCAGCAACAAGTATGAAACGACAATCGGGAGATTAATCATATCTTCAAACCAATGGACTGGTTATTTCTAATTGAAACATTGGTCTCGAATTCTCCGTAGTACAGAGTAATAACTTTTTCATTACTCCATTCATTCTCCAGTGCTTCTTTACTAATTATACAGAATCAACTTTTTCTTGACTAATATGGTGCAATGAAGGTTATTATTGTTTCTTGACTATACAATCATCCATCAATTTTTGTCGTATGGAAATTGATTTTCTTTTTTTCTTACAATCTGCATATCCATTTTACTGCTTCAATGCAGAACTGTGCTAGAAATTGCTTGGAATAGTCAACTGAAACGTTTATGGGTCCCAATATCTTCACGTTTAACAATTGGACATGGAAGAGTAGTGTTTACTCTAAATCGTAATTTATGTCCAGCTGCAGTTCAACAATTCATTCATGTTAATGTTAACTTGTCACGCAATTTATCAGCTTTAGAATCTGATCTAATAGAGAAATCCAATGGAGCCGTTGGATTATGTAAGTCCATATTCAAGACACCAATATTGTATAAGTATGTAAGATCTGAGGTATGGCTATTTGATAAACCGAAAGATTTAAAGGTATCACAGTTTCACTATTCGGAATAAATTGCGGTCGATAGAAATCTGATTAAATTATATACTATAGCAACATAACTCGCACGGTTATACCATCCTGGTGTTTTACTATTCTTGTATATCCTTTCCTAAGTGTAAGACGAAAATAGAGCTATTTAGGTTGAGAAATACAGATTTCTTTTACAGTAAAAGGTCTCAAACTACTTCTTACTAAGACACTTATTAAGTTTATATTATAAGATGATGAATCAGTCAGACATGAGTAAGGCTACTTTAGGTAATTCTTTAGTGTGATTGATAAACAAATCAACTTGAATCTTTATCGGTCATTTAATTTGAAGTCTTATTGAAGATAATACTCAGTGTATCATTTGAATAGTTGTCGACATTTATCTAAGCCCACAGAAACGTATCATGAGATCGCATTGGAATGTATATTTGTGCTGGTATCACACAACTCGTTGAAGATATATATGATCGACAAACTGTGTGTTTTCAGGAACTAACTAGTTCTTTAGCTTTTGTAAGTATAGAATTTGTTTATTTTGGTAGATTAGTCCATTTGATGTAGCACACAGTGATATGGTAATATTTACTGGATGACGTTTCGAGTGCAATCTGTAGGGATTCTCGGGTACGATTAATTGGTGAAGCGTAATCTGGTTAGTAAATGAACTATACGATACATAGCAACTGGCTCAGCGGACACAAAACGAAGACAATTTTGGACAGAAGCGATTTTATTCCAATCGAATTATGAAGGTAACAAACCCAGGGACACAACTCTTGTGTCTATATAAAATGAATAAGCCCTTGATGCGAGCAGACAAAATAGCATATTAAAAGTATGAGATTAACCAATCAGAAAACAACCTTCTTAAAAGCTGTAAAATCGAGTGGTACACGTGTGACGGAAAAAATAATTCAAATTTTCCCCATGATAAATTTATTAAATTTAAGCATAAAACGTTCATTTTTGAGAATGTACCATCCACAACACGATTTATTGCTCAGATTAATATCAAAACTGTCACATGACTCCCTCTCTTGGGTTTGTATAGTTTTACCTCTTTTTGATTTTTTTGACTTGATTAAGAGTAAGGTTTTCCATTTATCTGTCACTCCTGTTACTTATGGAGCTATAGCTCTTTGTCTTAGTCATTCAACTTCCAACCGATGGGTCATAGGTTCTAACCCAGCGCTGTCCACCGAGTTCTGAACAACCACCTGGCATCATTGTTCCTCACAGAATAAGGTGTGACTCACTGCCTACTGGATGATTGTGCAGAAGATTAATAAATAGATTTAGAACTTTTTCATTACACGTGTTAGGCATTGAATCGATGAACAGAGATTCGATGATCAATCCCCCCTCTCTCTACTTGAATAAAATAATCTTTGGGAAATCATTTCACTTCTTTGCGTTACTCAAGTCCATTAAGGAGATTAATCGCGTGAAAAATCTGAAAAAAGATTCCTTGAGTAGTTGTTTAAGCCGGTGAATAATCTAATGACGATTCGATGCATAATAGCAAGAGAAGTTGCCAAGCTGAAGTTTTATGAGAATTATCTTGAAATTGTCAATTCTTCAAATCACTATGTTTACAAAAATCGCGATCGACTAAGTGTAGCCTAAACTCACATTGACTCTACCAAGATCATGATAACCAATTTATGGTCGAAATTGTATTATTTTGACCAATATACAGATGAGTTAGGCGTTGTCTTTAGAGTGAAGTTCATCAGTTTTATCGATGTTCAATGGAAAACAAGTCAAAGGTTTACAAAGTTTCTAGTTGAAAACCAAACTTCCCAGAAAACTCGGAGAAGTACACTTAGAACTTATCAAGGGCTGAATAAAGCCAGCTCCAAAAAAATCTTTTGGGTTTCAATTTCACACCCCAAATAAATTCTTTAGCAGAACGGATACTGCAACCCATTTTGAGAATTTTCTCAATAAATTTGTTGACGAAGATAAGAAGAAGTGGTTCAAATCTGAGCTTGTAGATATTGAAGATAAGTGCCTAGCGTTCGCACTACTTCATTTCAAACTCCTCGTCGAAGAATAAAGTTTGGTTTTGAAGGTGTGATTGTAATGAGTAAGGAAGAGTATATCATTGAGATGAATATAATCTTCCACAATTCAGAATGGATGATCACAGTAAAAATATAACGGAAATAACCGAGTAGCGAATTACCGAAGAACTCAGGGAACCACTCAAAAGAAAGCCGACTGATAATAAAGCGTACAAAACCTCAGACTCAGAGGATCTCACCTGCCATTCATGTATGAACAACCGAAAATACATGAAACGGATATACCAGGAAGAACTATTCTATCTATGGTTAACTCTTCATATCAAAAGCCTTCACCTTGATTAGCAAACAAGTTAGAAAAGATTCGTCTGGAATCACAAACATATATTTTGAAAGACTTTTGATTTCACTGAAAAAAATAAAATACCTCATTTTGTCGGATATATTCATCACTTCATATGAAATAACTTCTCTGTTCACGAGTATACCTCCTTGAAACAAAAGATATTACTTGCCATTACACTAAAAATATCCCACTATCAAAAACACACATGAAGCGTCTCCTGCTTTTGTGTTTCAAAAAAAGTTTAGTTGCATTTCAACGGCAAAATATATAAGCAAGTAGACGGTGCTGCTATGGGAAGTTCACTAGGACCACTAGTGGTGAACATCTTCATATCTCAGTTAGAAATTACCACCCTGAAACTTACAATTGATGAAACCATGTTTTATTCAAGATCTGTTGAAGATACTTTTATCATCTATGAAAACGTTTAACAAGCAAAGAAGCTGGTATAAAATTTCAACAATGCACATCATACTACTAAGCATACATTGGAGTATAAAGAGAGGCAACAGCTGGGTTTTCTTGACTTGGTTTGAAATGTAATGAAGACAGTACAACAGAGAGGAGTATTCATCACAAAAACACGCGGAGTGATCAGTGTTTAGACTTTACCAGCTCTTGGCTAATCAGCTGCAAGAGAGCCTTATTGAGGAAGTTGTATCAACAGGCGGAGAAATTGTGCTTCGAAGAGACTGCAAGAATTTCAACTAATCGAACAATCTCTACACAATGATATTATCCGATGAAGTTCGTGCAGAAGCAAGGAGAAGAGAGGGGTGTAATATTTTTGAGAAGTAATCAGTTTTTTTTAAAAATTGGCTTTCAAAGTAAATGATGTTGCGGCAAGAATCGACGGACAAATTCAGAGTTCACTGTCCAAGACCTATCCGGCTGCGAGACTTATCTCACTGTATCAAATATGTGCAGTTACACAATCCAAATTGATAATTTACCCCCTAACTTTGAAGCTTTTTTCTTGAATGTTTCATCACCAGGTTCGGCGACTTCATCAGCACTTCGTATGGACACCAACTGAACAAATTCCCAACGCTTGTTAACGCCAACTGTATTTATTAATTATCATGTACATGCAGAAATAAGTACAAGAAGAACAAATAGACGGTTGTCTACTAGGTTTACTGAGTACTTGCAAAACACTACGTCTCAGAAGTCCATCCTCATACTGAGGTGCAATAGCTCGTCACCTGTGTGATACGCGACTTCAAGTAGTCAATTGACAAAAGACCTCACGCTTACTCAGAATCGGAGAAGCCATCACTATCCGACGAGTTCAGTCTGAACTGTTTTCTATTCCAAACTTGACAGTTTGGCCGATGTTAGTGGTCTTAACCTCGTTTTGGGTTTTCTGTTAGGTTCTATGACCAACGAACTGAAGGAAATGCTCAACGGTTTTTCTAACTGCTTTTATTCACCGAGTCGCTGTGTTCGAGTTGACCCTACTACCACTTACGTCACACTAACTGACTCAGAGAGGAAATGAAGTTTGTCTGCTTGACCACACTGCACAATTATATTGCATGCAGCAAGACACAGAAAATGTACAAGGCCTTAAAGGCGTGAGCAGCCTAGTGAGGATGTCATTGAATGAGAAAAAGGACGGAAATATGAAGGACATTCATAATTGAAGGGTTTTTGCTCTTATTCTTTCTGGCTACGGATGCAACAAACTGTGTTCAAAGGTAGACAGCAACCAGATGATTAATACTCTGGTAACTAGTGCCTTTTCACCCTCATACCTTTCGCAAAATATTTTTTTAATGCATTTATTTTATGCCTATTCCTATCCATATTGACTGTCGCTTCATTATTATCGTATTCGTTACTATTACGGTTGTACGTAGCTGAAAAAAATCCTATGACGTCATCTTATTCAGCAAACAGTGTTCTCACTAAGTTATTCAAGTTCATTAAGGGAACTAAACGCATGAAACCTTGACTTGGCTAAGTTTTTGTGCTTGAGCAGCATAATTAACCCTGATTGACTACTTTGACCTGCGTTATTGACCTCTCAGTCGCTACTAGCGATTTACCTGATCGAATCAGCAGGGTGTTTCAACCTAAAAAGAAAACTCGTTTCTGAGTCAATGCCACTCCAATCGCAGTATTATTGACAACTACTCGTAACGCTTCAAAGTTGTCTTTTTTGTATCAGGACACAGTAGAGGTTTTAAATTTCTTGGTAAGTTTAGGTGGGTAATTAAGAAGACGTAAGGTATTCTTGATGTGTCTAATTTCTTGTCTTATATTTTCTGTCCGACTAGTAACCTTTTGTAACCTGTTACTAAGACATTGAACTAGATCTGGTTTGACTGAAGTAGTGTGAGATGATTCGAATGGAACGATATCCTATGAACAATAATCTCTCATTTTCCACTTTGCTTTTATTTTATCTTGCAATCCAACTTCACTAACTACCCTTCAGCACCTTCTGATTCACAGGTAAATGGGATTGCGTTCATTACTGGATTTATGTGTGTTAAGAACCTTTTAATTTGCTTAAAGTTGTAGAGTTACCTGATATGAATATGGACAATAAATTATGTCCAGCAAATTTATTAAACGGACTAAAATAGAATCCTGCGTAGGGTTTCTGATTTCCCTTCCTTAGATGATAACACTAGGAGCCTTAAATTCCCTCTTACTTGTGTTGCAGTTATTGTTCACATTATTTTTTCTTTTTTATGCTTTTTGGTTTAAAAAAGAATAAATTTAAAAGAATAATTATTAAGAATTAAGGCTTCTTTTGTGTGTTTCATTTCTTGAGTTAAATTTTTGATTTACTGGAGAGACTCCTAGCTCGACTACTTAAACATTCGCTTTACATTTTATCCCAGGCCTAACATTTCTAGAATATTCTATAAATTAGTGCAGTCATTCAACTGATATGAGAAACATAAAACTGCACAGTATGTATTTAAAATCATTATTATCTTGTGCAACTCAAGCTGTTTGGATAATTTCAAGCCAACAGTGTCTTCATTTTGTTCCTATGCTATCCTTAAAACTTATTTTTACATATTATCCAATCTGCTAATTATGTTGGTCCATGTACTCTTTTTCGTTTGATCTTCTATTTACCTCACACTTGTGATTTTTGGATATCACTTAATGGGCAACTTTAAAGCCCACCCTGGGAACAACTGAAATAACCAGTTAGATTATCGAAATTCGCCTTTCAAGACGAAATGAAGAAAACTAATTGGTTATTTCGATTGCCCTTCATTAATCTTTATTTAACCTAATCTTTGTTACTAGGACTAGTTAAATGATGCTTTTGATTACTAAATATATTGGAAAAAAATGTGAAAACATCATGAATGCATTCAAGACCTAAGTTAAAACTTAGTTGGCTCCTTGTGAGTCAGTATTTTGTACATTTTTCCAAGGTTGTAAAACATAATACCAGTCAATATTTTCAGTGCAGTCAATTACTGAATAATACATCGATCATTGTAATATATTATACATAGACCCTTTTTAAGAGTTGCATACCATAATAACCTCATTCCACCGATGAAACATAACCTGCTATTTCTTTACTTTCCTGGTTTGAACCCTTGTTCCTCTAAAAAAGTCTCGTCAACCAGCTTTCGTACACTAAATATAACTCATAGCGTAGTCTTTACTAGTCACACTCTTGTTTTATATTATTCTAAATGTGTAACTTATGGTGTAGGCGCTTTCTCTTGACGCATGAGGTCATCACTGAAATCCCCTACTTCAACCTGAACAAGTAGTTAGTGTCATAGACTGTTAGTAGCGTGGTTCATAAAACTCTATCGGGATGCTGTAATAACAGATTGTATTCTATAAATTTTATTTAGTGTATGGGTTTTAGGTTAGTTTTGTACAACCGATTGGGGTTAAGTAGGATTCATTCTGAGCATTTCTTTGTATGTATGTTGGTTGAGTTACTCGTATTTCTGTTTTTCATTCGTTTCCAATGTTTTCCCTAAATTTGTGGTACATTCTCTTGTTATTTAAGGTCAAATACATCAGCTGAATTTGTCAATCGACCACGTTTATCAGCGTTCGATATCATTCGTCATCATTAATAATAGTACACCTCTTTGGAATGATTTTCGTCAACTTCTACCTGTAACTGCCTATTATAGGTACTTGTAAGTTATCTTACTCCGGTTATATTTTTTATTCTCTGAGTTTCCGATCACCGTTATTCAGTGACTTTAAAGGCTACCTTAGTAGCTGCTGAAATAGCCAATCAGTTTTCAGTATATCGTCTGCCATGTTAGTTTTCTATAAAATAAGGAACTGTAATTGGTTATTTCAGCAGTTCCTAGAGTGGCCTTTAAAATCACTCATGTCATTCAGGATATATATATATATATATATATATATATATATATATATATATATATATCGAAGTAGTTTGGTGTATTTCTAATGTTCCAACACTGCTCGACCGACAGCTGCTACCTTGACGTGGTGGTCGGGCTTGTATATGACAATGATCCAACGAGCTATGCTGATGAAACACTTGTTTTTTTGAGGTCCTGCCATGTCAGAAAGGTCTGTTGGATAGTGTTAAAACGAAAAGCAGTTACCGTTGTGGTGTAAATTACTATACTATGGTGGGGTCTGAGGGCGAGGTCGTACTACTGCTACCTGGAAGTGTGAAATGATAACAGTAAGACAGCATAGCTCAAAGGTAAGAATAACAACGATATAAGGACCAATGAAATGATTGAATAGACAGTTCGTTAAACTGTTTATTATGATTTGTGCAGAAAAGTCCAATGGGCACTTCATCGTTATTGTTAATTCATGAATTTTGTGGGCTGTGGTATTTTTAGATGCCCAAACACTAGGGATTACTCTCTGAGCCTTTGACCTGACGTATGAGCCATGTTAGGTGCTACATTCGTATGATGCTGGTGGGCCAAGTAGGTTCATGCTCCATTCCTCCGTTATGATTAGTGAATCTCATGGATAATGCTGGTTTAAAATCATAGTTTTCCAACTTTCGTAGGTACACCATCTATATATAACAATCCGGTTATAGCTCTGAACGTTCGTTTTCGACTCCTCACTTTTGTGGAAACACACTCTACTAAATGAAGATGGTGAATAGAACTTCTCTGGCAGGGGATATGAAAGTGGGTTGTGCAGAAGTATTTCAAGAGGGTGATCGGAATCATCCTAATTTTTTCTATGACATGGTTTTTCGGTGGGGGTGGGGTGACATGGCCTTATGAAATTTTATCTGGTGTATAATTCATAGTTCTATGCACTTTGGCATAAAATTTCGATCGTAATGGATATGACATTCAAGAGTCGTCTCACGAAATCCTGGTTCTCACCAGAAAGCATGTAATCCTTAAAATTGTTAGTGAATATTCATGTAGAATTACATACGTTACAAACTCAACCCTCACTATATGGTCATATTATTTAGAATGATCATTTAAGTGATACTGAATATTATCAAATTATTTAAAAAAAACTCCGTAACCGCAGTGAAAGACTCAAGGTAATTTATTCATTGCTTAATGCTTTGTTCAATGCTCAATATCCGAAAAAAGTATATGATTGATTGTCAAATGCTAGCCTAAGGATGCTATCATCGAATTACGAACAGATATTTAGTTCCTCGCTGCAATTCAATGCGTTTGAGACTAAATATACGGTGATCCAATTTCGATATTTGCAAAAAGCTAAAACTCTTGACAGAAATCAAATGTTAAATTAAGACATAATAGAATATTTATTAAAGTTGAATGATCATCCATAAAATATGTTTACTGACGAAAGCAGAAGTAAATACTGGAGATTATTTCGATGAATTCATGATTCAGAAAGATGCTACGTGATAATCAACTCATCATAAACTGAGTTATCATAATACCGACATCATTCTTGAACAACTGAATTGTCCTTGTTTTGAAGCTTTTCAGCAGTGGATACCACTCGATTGCATATAAAATTGAACATATTACCTTAGTCATATCATATAGTTGAGCCTTTTTCATTTTGTAATATATAGAGAACGTATATCCAATGTTACTGGTGGTTGTTAATCCCTATTCATCTTCTAGTTGACTTTATAGGTTACAACTTCACGCTGGAAATTTGAGTTGTCAGTCTCAAAGTAAATCATTTATAAAAAGTCGTCAGTGATTAATTACATTTTTGATGTTATTAGTAGGACTCGAGCAGTTTGGTTAAGCTGAATTCTATATTGTAACTTAGCAGTTATGTTCAGGTTCGTGCACTAGGTTACAAGACGTTTTGTGTGAAGGCTCATGGTTACCTAAACCTTGTTAGTTCGACGTCATGATTCACTGATTAAATATTGAGTGCTAAAACTAATGTGTAACCGCTCCACTAATTCTGTATTAGATTTGTTGATTTGATTTAGCACACGGTGACAAAGTATCATTTTCTGGATAAAGGATAACAATCCAAAACCCAAGGTTTTCCCACTGATCTTAGTTAAACAATTAGAATGCTCAAATGAAATCTACTGTTATGCCATTTATGAATCCCATTACCAAAATTAACCAAAAGCCCAAAGTTATGTAGAATTAATTCAGAACTAACCCTGAGACCAACCGTATCCACCCCTAACATCCTGTTTTAGTTCATCTACCAAGTCATCGTTTTCGAATAGTAATTCTGTACATTCGCCACGTTATTTCTCATGGTCAATTGAGACAGCTTCTACAACTAACAGACTTAGATTTTTATATGAATCTAATCCTTCTCATCGCTTGATTTTAGCGAAAGTGATCATTTTAAGATCTCTGATTGAACCGGGTTTAACGACACTTTTTTTTCTTACACTTACCTTTTATTAAAGAAACTCGTTAAGTATCATCTTAATTGTGATAGGTAATTCTTTGTTGATGATACTAATTGCAAGAAAAAAATGGTAAACAATGGTTACTTGTTTTACAACAATTGTTTCCAATGTAGTTTTCTTCATGGATTGACATCAGTTGGCGAAATACTGAAAATCTAAGAACACCGGATAGACGTTTCTCTCCAATTTCCAATTCCCTAATGTTGTATACCCACAATCCCGTGAATGATTGAGCCTGGGACCCTCAGGTCTCACAGTTAGCACTTATATATTGAAATATTGAAATAAAAATCTGGTCAGCAGTCAGACCTCGTTCCTTCAGTTGGTAGACTATCAAACCGGTTCGAACCCGACCGCAGTTCAAAATTTCATTTCACCTTCAATCATCACCCAGTATCAATACTAGTCTGCCAAACTACGGCTATCTCAGGCAGTCAAAATAATGACCTACTAATAAGTCAATAATAAGCACTGAAATGTAATTGGAATGCATTTTGATGCTAAAGAGTCACGGACTAGGACAAATTAGCTGTTAAGGCGCTCACACTTTTTCAATGAAAACAAATACAACAGATAAATGAAGGCAGAAGTGGATCGATTCAAGCTGATACACTTCAGCATACAATAAAAGAGTACATACATAAAGAGTAGTGCTCCTAAGAAAAACCAGTGCTTATGAGAAAAGTGGAAATCAGTAGATGTAGGTTAGCAGAATGTTTAAAACTTCGAAGTTGACAAAGAGTAATTACACCACTTCGTATCCTCTACTTTCATTGACCATACCTCACAGTCGCATAACAGGACAGAACAGAACAGATTGCAGCAGTGTATACTCGTCTTTTGATAAGTAGTCGGGTATCTCACCCACCTGCAACACAGATGGTTTAAGTTGACAGATACCAGACAAACATTCCGTACTCCAGCTGAAATTCTGTCAGCAACTAGCCTGTTGCAGCAATTTATGCAATTTATCAAGGATGTATAGTGATCAACGTATTCCACCACCACACCTCTACACCTATAAAAAAACACAGGAAGTTGGTGAAGATCACTCCTGGGACATAATCTTACATTTGAAAGATGCGAATACCAGGCCACAAATACTCAGATTTCCATTCAAGGCATTCAGAAAATTATGCATTTTGTCAGTGTGTTCGCCCTACATGACAGGATTGTCTGCCTACTATAAATCGAACAGGTACCCTCTACGGAGCGAGTCAATCCCCTTTAAGTCAGAGGTACTTACAGTCATGTCCACTAGCGTGTCTACAACAAAGATAAACAAGAATGGTGACAGTGTTCATGCATAGTGGACACCAGTGGTTGTTGTTACTTTACATGACAACTCTCCACAAGCTCTTACAGCGTTGCATGAATTTGAGTAGAAAGCTTCAATTTGTAGTATGAACTTGCACTCCACTCCCCTCAAAGTCATATAAAATACCTCGTTCGACACAGCTGTGGACATGATGCTGGCCTAAAAAATACCCCCATGGTTGTCACGAGAAGACCTCTCCTCATTAATGTAAACTGGCATTATCAGCGAACTAAGCCAGTCTTGAACATAAATAAAGCAAACTATGGTTCTGAAGAAACATCCAGACTCCAATCAATTACCAGACGTAAGAGGTAACAGTAGGCTTTGTTCTTTTCTCAACTTCATGTCGGTACACCACTCCATGATTAGCTTCACAGTTTCCCCTTCATCTTTGCTATCTAATTCAAAGTTATAACCACATGAGGTTATCTTTTATCTGGCAATAGCAAATATTTTGTCTATCCCCGTCTAAGTATTAACTGTTAAAGGAACAAGAGCAACTGTGTAAACCTATGTACTTTTGTCTTCTTAGAGTCACACTGTCTTCCTCAGAGTTAACAATACTATCCTAGTGCTTGAATCTCAACAGCTCCGTTGAGAATCCGTACAGTGATTCACTGCTGTAATGTTACGCTTACGAACTGCTCGCAAAGATGTGCTGTAAGTGAACACCGTCTCATCGATTGATTTCAATCATCGTACACAGTGATAATTTGGGTAGTGAGAGTTTAAACATAAGCTTGATTGAGTAATGCACCGACGACATAGGGAATCATGTGTGCTTGCATACAATGGATAACACTCATCGGAGTACTATAAACTATATTTTGAAGCCTCTTTGGTACCACTACATATTAATTAATTAATTAATTCATTTGTGCATGAATGCAATTAAACGTGACACAGGTGTTTACAAACGATACTGAGAAGTATACCTATTGTGTAGGCGCTTACCATACTACTGGGTTGTTCAGGTCGTAGTAGGTGTAGCAGAGTTTTAACGCGGAGCCTGCAGCTTGAAAGTCCAGTGGTTTTGTCGATTAGTCACATTTTCACTAAATGTAGAATTTCTTCTAATATTCTTCTAAAGTGCATAACATTATCGAATGTGAAACAAGTGGACATGAAACAATCGCCTTATACCATACCCCTGAGCGTTATGTATGTGTATAGAAATTTCAATATAACTATAACACTAGAAGAAAAATGTTACCAAAAGGTGTAACTATAACAACTTAATAGTTTGAGAAGACGAATAAGCCAGTTATAAGAACTACTATGAAAATCTAAGCATCCTGTCATCATATTTTGTTTTTTTATACAATTTAGTGCAAGTAACCACTGTTCATACAGCATACTGCATAGTACGCCAGGCTTGATCAAGATGGGAATTGCTGTCATGTTTAGGCAAATACTTCACTGTGTACTCCTTAAATGCATATTCATAATCATCATCATCATCAAAATGAACATAGGACCAGGCACTACTGCATAGTGGTTCAAGTTGTCACATTCCCTCTCATCACATCAAGTCAAAAAGCAATAAAATGGGAGATGAAGAAAGAAAGAAAACTCGGTTCAAGGAAGTAAAAGTAGAAGGTAGTATAAAAGAAGAATGGGAAGCTAGTGAGATTAAGTATAGCGATTAAGGTGAGGATAATGTGTATATACATTTTCTCCACTGACACATCACCTTGAATCTCCAACCACTGGTTTCTCCTGTTTTGTGGACCCGCAACTAGCTAGTCTGCTTCGCCCTACATGGTTCAAACGAATAGTCGAATACCTCGTTTATTGATGTCATATTTCAGTCTTGCCTCCACAAACCTTTATTCAACGTGAACCTACTTCGGCCAACAATTCGACGAGGTAGATGGTGGCTAGACAGTCGTAACACATGTCTCAGGCATCTCAGTCGATGAAAGTTCACAACCACACCAACTGATTTATCTCTCCTGCCTAAAACTCTACACCTAACTTTTGCGTTACTCACGCGTTGACGCCACGAAACATGACCTATACTACGAAAGCAATATTCTCATCTTTCTTTTAAGAACAGAAAGGCTTCAAGGTTTTCCGTCACAGGCAAGGCGCAAGTATACACGTCAATTACTAATGATGAGACCATGGCCGTTCTCCAGAAAGAGCGGCAATGCTCCAAAGATTGCCTATGAAGATGTGATCTACCTGTGTCTGGTGGCTTGATGTCGGGAACGCCATGTGAGACAGTGTCTCTCCCCATGCCCAAAGTTGGTGCACATTGAAAACGAGGTATTATCTATAGTTCTCCATCTGATTTAAATCTATGTTGAATACGATCATGAAATCATTCAATATTCATACACTTGTTGATTTAACCCCAATCATTTTTGTTCATACTTTATCAGTTTTTGTAAATTTCTTTGTTTAGTTTCTGTTCTATATTTTTTCAAACTTCTAATCAGAGAGATTGATGAACCAGAATCAGATGAAGAAGCAGTTTGTGATAAGTCGTAAGTTGTCTCAAACAAGCTCTATGTATTGTTTTCTATATTTTAGAATATAGAATCTGTATATGTTTAGTCAGCTGATCATTTCAAGGCTCTATTCGTTTTTCAAAAATATCACTTTCTTTTGTCGTGACATACTGCCACGCTTATGGGGTCTAACTCAAAAACCAGTAGACTTTCATCTAATTTGTGTGAAAGCAAGACATGGTTTCACATTGATTGTTTATGAATAGCGTTACATCATAGTTCCGTGAATTAATGTCGTTTAGATGGGTTTGATCAAATAATTACTCAAATCACTGGGCCGTTCCTAAGCACTTGTTATCACTTTGATGATGTTGTGTTCTCTGAGCTGGATGGTTTAATCGTCAAGCTTTCATTGTCATTCTAGACAACACCATCAGCATAAACTTCAGAAAGAAGTGAGCTATAGGGTTTTCTCCACAAGTGCCTTAGTAGATTGTCCTGATGGCCTTGTGTGTCATTGACTGTTTATTATTATTATTATCATTATTATTATTATTATTATTATTATTATTATTATTATTATTATTATTATTATTATTGAGTAAACAATGAATCTAAATGTATTTGTAAAAAACATCTAAATAACATATGGTGGTTAATTAATTAGACATATAGGTTAACTGGCATGTTTTACTGATTTTATATCTTAATATCCAGTCAAAGAGCGCGGATCTGAGAAAATTTCATATGTTTTACCAGTGTTCCCTTAATTGTTCTGCCTATGTGTAATCAGGTTATCATGTAAGCAAAACGAAGGTGAAACATAATCTTGAAAAAAGCAAAAAGTGAGTCTCAATCTTGTCTGATTTTTAACGGAATGGCACTCAAACAGTGATCGCCTAGAAATTAGTCGAGAAGTACGCTTTCTACTCTTAAACGTAATGCTGCATCTACATCAAAAAGTCGACAAGAAATAGTCACCGGGCACTTGAACGGTTAATTCTGTAAATTCATCGTATTGACCAAATAACCCTGAGCTGCAAATCTTTTCTGTCCTTTCATAGAGGATTAAATGTGATCCCTGTATGCTTGCTAACACTCCAGTTAATCCAAACAATAATCCTCGACAAGCATCTCTGAAAACTAACCCATGAGATCTCGGTGCTGTTCTTCATTTCAATTTATTTACAATTTTCTAAGCATACACAGGAGTTGAAAGGCCTTTCTTGTTGTTCTATTCCGGATTCAGCTGCATGGAGAGTAGCGGAACGGTAGCTGGAGACCAGTTGAACTGTTACTTGAAGTGTTCTCCCCGTTATTCTAGTCTCCTCTGTAGATAATTCGCGAACTCTTCCTTCTACATCATTGTCTCACTACCGACTGACGTTTTGTTTACCCCAGTTTCCTTGATCAGTCTATAAAACTGTCTGCTGCTATCATAATGGTCCATTCCAACTCTTTAAATTTTTTTATCACCACTACTTATGCCGAATGCATAGACTGTTTACCAGTCTACATATGAGTTGCTTCTGCATCTCAGACATGATTGATGAACAAAACCACCATAGAACCTCGCACGCAAGCGCATCGGTTCAAGTTGCCACACTTCACAGCAAACTACAAAAACTGGTGGATAGAATAAGAATAATATCAAAGTAGACAAAAGTGTACGGGGAGGAGAAACAACTTAAAGAAGGTTAGTGAAAATATTTAAGCTTTAGAAGGGGCCGTAAAGTATATATATATCAACACCACTGTTACCGATTTTCAGCCATTTCACCAACTGTCCTCTACCTATGATTTCTATCCCCCCATGAACCCCCTGGTAAATGATCTACATCTCCCTACCTGGGTCAGACCAACATTCAAAGACTTCGTGCACTAGTGTCACCTCTTGGTCTGATCATCCTTAACCATCCTGCAACCGAATCCCACTAAGATTTCGTCAGCTCGTTCGGGCTGATGCAACTCCCCAAGTAAGGGAAGTGGTCGACACATTCCACCACTTCACTCCCTATCTACCAAATATTCACACTGCGCCAAGTTCTGGAACACAGGCGGGCTTACTGACGCCCGACACTAGCTGTATTTCTCGACCTGAATGTGGCACTCGACTCAGCTGATCGATAAGTCTTATGGCAATGTCTCTCACTGGAAGGCGTGCTGACTAAGTACATCACCTTATTGAAGGCTGTCTACTCGAATACTTGTGGCCTTGTTAGAGCCTATGGTGAGACATCCGGCGAGCTGTAGCCGTCGACTGGTATCCGTCAAGAGTGTCCACTGTCTCCATTCTTATTCAATTTTATCATAGGTATTCTTATAGAGATCTCCATCTCGTCACCTGACTACACAGAGGTTGACTCAATCGCAGGAGGATTTTCGTTAGACCCAGAATATGCAGATGACATAGTTCTGTTAGATGAAGATGCTGACAAGATGCAGAGTCTTCTGAACACTTTGAGTTGCAATTTGAGAATGGTTGGGATGCGATCCTCACCGCCCAAATCCAAATTGTTTCTCTAGGATTGATCTTCAACGGTGCCTTGAGTAACAATAGAGAGTGTAGTGGTTGAGTGTATTGGTCACTTCACTTACGTGGGAAGTCGGATCAGCCCTGGTGGCTCAGTTGCCGATGAAATTTCTGCACGTATACAAAATGCTCGGCTGGCTTTTACCAACTTACGCCACCTGTGTCGCTGCCCAGTTACCCAGTTGTCCTCAACGAAGTAGATCAATTCGTTGGTAAATCTGTAACGAAACGGAACAAGAACCGTGACAGGGGACATCCTTGTTGGACACTACTAGTTATCGTCAATTCAGATGATAAACTGTCCATAAACCCTTATGTAGCTGTATGAGTTTGGATAGCGAGCTTTGAATATCGTTACCTAATTGCGTAATACTCTTTTCAAACTCCGATATCGTCACAACAACTCACGGTCAACAGAGTCCGAAAGCTGCCTTTAGACCAAGAAATATGATATGTTGACCACCTGTAAGTATGTCTATGTTTCAAAACCTGACAGAGGGTAGAGACTTGATGGATACATCCTCGTCCAGATCTGAAACCCGCCTGGTTTTCTCGGATTTAGTGTTCACTAGCTGTAGTTAGACACCGGATAACCGTGGACCCAAGGATTTGTGTCACAATATTAATCAACCTAATTCTTCTGTGCTTGTCACAAGAAGACGTCTCTCCTTTCTTATCGACTGGGATGACCAGTGAAGTAGACCAGTATGACGGTACCATCTCATACACTACCTACTATCTCCTTTACTCTAATCAGTAATTTCCTACCACTCTCCTTGAAAGTTTCTGTTTGGAAACCGTCAAGTCCTGCTGCTTTGTATCGTTTCAGGTTCGACACAGCCTTCTTAACTTCAAGGTGAGTTGAAGGACCTTCATCTACTTGCCATTCAGCTTTAGGCTGGATATTGGTCAACTGAAGCACTGATGTGGGTCACTTGAACTGTGCTTCAAAGCGTTCTGCCCAACATTCTAGCTATCTGTCCTGAAAGGTTATTCTTTTCAGTAATGGTCTCACTAACCATCGTTTTCTTCCTGCCCTAATAAGCCTAAATAATCGTGCGTGTTACAGAATACTGACGCCTTCTTCATCTCTCTCACTCTCACCACCCGCCACTGCTTGCGATCATTTCGAAGACGCTTGGTCAAGTTACGTTTAAATGGTTTTGCCTTTCATTGTGGTCAGAGCCTGCTGAAATACATCTTCTTTCATCAGTCAGTTTGGATGAAGTTGTGGAGATCTATAGGCGTTTGCCAACATTCCGGTGTAGGTTACAAACTGTCTTTACCGCTGTTTCTACAACAGACTGTATGTTATGGGTGGTTCACTCAGAATGTGGGTAACTATCACGTCCTTCCGCTTCGCGTCAGGGTCGAAGCCTGCAGGGCCGCCTTTACGCACATCCCATACTTCAGAAGAAATTGCTGTTATCTACTGACTTTTTCTAGCCATTTTAAAAGGTCATATAGGTCTTTAGCACTGTTTTCTCAGCAGAGTGGAGGTGGCACCATTTTGCTTCTTGATGAATGACGTCATATCCCGATAACCATCTATCCAGTTCTTTGTTGGAAGCAGGCAGCCTTAGTACTTTTATTATCCAGCTGCTCTGAGATTGATCTTGGATTTGTAGTTTTTCTAATTCCGCCTACGTGGAGACGCATGGTCACTTTCCAAACGTGTGCTCCTGAAAGAGTAGTAATCTTCCCCCGAGCCTATGTAGTGATGACTAAATCTCTTTTTCTCGAGTTTACTGTACTCACTTGTGCATTAGAATTACCCACTACAGTAGACACATGAGCGTTTTGCAGCCACTAAAGGCTAAGGATTTTTCGGTAGAACTTTTATTTCACGTCATTCGAACTGCAGTCAATAGTTGCGTGAGCATAGATTACAAAGAGACAATGGTAAGTTTGACTATTTGTTTTTGTGCTGACTGCATCATTGAGTCGAAGGGTGTATAGGCGACTTTTAAATGGGCTGAAGTCGAGTAGTGCACTTTCAGACCTAGCACTAGGCGCTTTGCCTACACGAGCAAGACTGTGAGAACTATCCATCAAATTTCCAGAAACTCGAAGAGTAAATCTTGCGAATTCACCATATTGGTCCCTTTCGGTGAGGTTAATAACCTTTATGTGCGTATGTCGGTAACACATCAGGCGTTCCTGGCTGAAAATACCAGAATTTTGGCTATCGAACGCTGTCTGACGGAGGATACATTGATAAGCTCGACGTGTCATTTGAAGTATGGTTTCAAGAGGACAAAAAAGCTGGTTCATGAATTCGAATCGTTATGAAGGGCTGCGGAGGTCAAATAAATTAAAAATGACATCAGAATATTGACCAAAGAAAAATCAGAAGGTAAGGATGGTTATGGTTGATCTGAAGGAAGGTGAGTACTGGTAGAGTTGTGAGGGTGACTGACACTTTTCGGCTGCCCACATCATAGAAGGCTGGATCCTGCTTTTTCTGAACGACATACTGTATGAGTAATAGCGGCAAAATACCACAGAGCACACGAGACAAGTACTTGATGCTGATCACAACACTATTTTTAAACGTTTGAGGTTTAACTTTGATCTGCTTGAATACCAGCAGGTAGAAAGCCATACTAACGGTGCCAGAATACCACAACGCAGCTGGTATTTTGCTGTTTTCAGGTTGACTTTTTCTAACGACCCGGTGTTGCCACTGGAAAGGCTGCTGTCACACTGCATCCACTCATCAGTACGATATCGCCTTTGAATTTACATCAAAAGTTAACAATTTACATTACATTGTCTTGTTATTATTCGGCAAATCTGTGTAATTTGGTAGACGAACGAGTGTACCTTTTGGCGTGGCTCGTTTGGTCATTGTGACATGCAAGTTTGACCACCGATTTGACGTAATGACAGATTTTTTAAGTGTTTTCTTACTTAATTTTTGTAATCCCCACCTTTCTGCGAGATTATTCAACAAATACTTTCTAGTAATCACAGTGGTAAACATATAGTAATGCTGTTTTGTATCCTTATTGCATCATATTCAGTGTATTTATATTATCTGTTTAAGTATTAAACAACTCTGGCTTTTCAAACGACAGTAGCTAAACTTGAATTTACAAGGTAACTTCAACAATATTTTGAATATATTCACAACTAGCATCCCATGATTAACAAACTACTTTCTCTCATTAAAAAAGTACATTCTCACTGAAAATGTTTTTATAAGTGCAGTTGTACAGCTTAGTGAATGAAACCACCGAAAAGTCGAACTGATAAGGCTGATGGAAATTGAGCATTGATTCTCATATATATTTGAGGAATATTGGTTGCTCATTATTTTCATCTGTTGGATTTTGATCGTTTTTCATTTTCATAAAGAATATTCAAAAAGTAAATTGTTAGATCTTAGGTTTGTGCATGGTGGTCTCCTATATTTTCATCATGCTGGTTATGATTGCTGAGATTCCATAACGAATAGTAATATTAGTAGTAGCAAACACAGAATTTTGTGTAGAGGAAATAGTTTAGTCAGCTGTTATATAGATGCTGTGAAACAAGCTAGTAAAAAAAAATACTTTCGGCAAGTCTAAAAATTGAAAACGATGCCGCTAAAGGATACTACTAAAAAGTGAAGATGTGGTAAATCACATTAACATAAACACAAACGACTGTTACATTGATTGGCTGCTGGTGAGCAAGCAGTTTCATGTTGTCTAGTATCGAATGCTAACTGAATTCTAACAATCATTTTGCGATATAGCTTCCAAGCTGAGAGGCTCGCCATGGCGGTGTTTTTGTGGGTGTTAGTTGGAGATAGTCGGCATGGTCTCTTGGACCTAGCTTACTTGCTTATTAGCACTCAACAAGGCGTAACCTAGAGAAAACTGATTCCCCCTCCGAGACTCAAACAAATCTCTAGTAACTGTTAACACAAGCAACCCGTAGAAGACTGTGAGGATGGTAGTGCCTTTTTAAGATTTGTCGATTGCTACTACAACTACTGTAAATATGCTGACTGGGAACGTTCACAATCTAACATTTTGGCATTCTTGAATTTGTTGTTTAGCACAAAGCTTTCAATCTATGTGGTTATTTAAACACTGTAATTTGTCAATTTTCCTTATTCTTCTCAGTTTTTGTATCACCTTCCTCCATTATTTCTTTACCGTTTGTACAAAAATATATCCTATGGAGAAAATTCTCCACTTTAAATCGGAATATATCATGCCTATTTTGTATGAGCTTTAGACGTGTTCATTAAATTGCTGACAACTTTAACTCAGTCGTATCGTAATCACTTTTACGTTATCCTTTATTTACTCCTGTTGCGTTTGATAGATGGCATATATATGAACCTAAATGTGAAAAAGTTCTTCAAAGTGAACCAATATTTAATTTATTTCATGGAACAAAACGTGGTACGTTAAAATTTCAATGTGAAATAAATTATTTGAAGCCAGCACAACGCTATCAAGCCTATGTGGAAATACGTACAATGTCCAAGTCTGAGGGAGCAGTCAGTCAAGTAATCACTTTCCAAACAAAGCAAGATAGTAAGCAGAAAAATTTATCTCTTCAGATAGAAACCTCTTTAGCGTGATTAATCTGTTAGGCGATAATACGATTATTATTTGTGGACCAGATTCCAACTATAAATCGTAACCGTTACACACAATGGCTGGATAATACATCTAGTGATTAAATCTTCCAGTTTAGTTTTTATCAGAAAAAGTTTAATGGTAACATTAAACACATGTTATTGTTCGCAGTCTATATTAGTAAATTGGTCAGCGCGAGTTTTCTTATTATACTATCCCTTATAACTCTGATTAGGAAGCGTATAAATCTGATAGTTATAAGGCTGGGTTGTAGCGTGATTGAGGTCATATATTACAGTTGTGGTATTCATGTTGAATATCTAGTTCACCTACATAACCTTTATTCAAAACTTGTGACTTATAGGACATCATTCTATGATGCAATTTTAGTCTTGAATATACAAGACAATAAAATGTGAATATAGACGTAGAGTCGATTCGATACGGGATCATAGGTACACGTTACTATTACTAAGTCATCTAAAGACCAAGATGAAACAGCTGTTAAGCGCTCTGATGTTCCCATTGGTTCTTTGACTAATTCATAATGGAAGCTACTCTGAAACCAATCAATTCCCACAAACCCCATATTGTTTTGTCTATACCTACGGTGTTGCTAGTCTCTTTGTTTGAAATTGATCTCAACAATGAACTATTCACAGAGAGAACAGAATATCTATGTAGACCCATAATAAGAGGATGATAACGTGTTTTTTTAAATATATATGAAGGTGTAAGTGCGCAAAAACCTTTGCTCGATTAATTTATCATAAATTAGAGTGATTGGTGGACAGACCAAGGTTACACATTGGTGAGTAAATGAACTCAATTCCATACTTTGGGGTACTCAGCATCTGCTTGGGTATACAGCAACCACCGATTAAATTGAAGCCGAATATATTAAATTTTTGTTATTTGCCTCTTCATTGTCTTAATGTAATCTGATATAGTAGACAACGTAGAAGCTCAAGAGATTATATATTTCTTGACAATAATATTGATAAAAATTGTCTTTTAACCTTCTATTGCCTTTTACATGGATAGTGATGAAAACGGAAACGTTTAAATGCTTTCTGAAGTATCTCCTATGTGACAGTTTCTCTTATTGTAATTATTTGTGTTCTCTTCTCCTTTCTGTTTGCTACTTAACAAAGTTATTTCATTTTGTTCATTTCTTGATGCATATTTTCTTCATAGAGCCAAGTAGACCAGTCGATCTTCATGCCTATACATTGAGTTCAAATAAAATACAATTACACTGGAATAGACCAGATAATCCAAACGGAGAAATAGTCAGTTATCATGTTTGGTACAAACGTTTATTATTCAATATTTCGTCATTTTTTGAGGGTGATACTTCTTGTACAAATGGTAAATTGAATGTGTTTCTTTAGGAATTCACATTTTCTTTGCTGTGGTAATTCCATATCTAGTGTATATTATTTCATGATTCCTACTTTGGACATAGTTTATTTATTGTCTGTAGTCATATAATAGTCGCCACATAACTTTTAATGCTTGCTTTTTATGGTCCTGTTCTCGTCTTCTGCTTGACCTAGTAATACTAATACTGTAAGATGATTGTGATTTATGTTTAATATCGCACAAACTCGAAGATCTACAGGCAAAAACTAACAGGTTGACAGAAGGGGCAGCGAAAGAAGACGGGACTTCAAGTGAATGTAGAGAAGACGGAGGTGATGAAGATACCCCCAACCGACAACCACATCAACAACAAGAGGCACCAATCACCATCAACAGGAGAAACCTAAAGAAAGTAGTCTCTTTCACCTACCTACCTACCTACCTACCTACCTACCTACCTACCTACCTACCTACCTACCTACCTACCTACCTACCTACCTACCTACCTACCTACCTACCTACCTACCTACCTACCTACCTACCTACCTACCTACCTACCTACCTACCTACCTACCTACCTACCTACCTACCTACCTACCTACCTACCTACCTACCTACCTACCTACCTACCTACCTACCTACCTACCTACCTACCTACCTACCTACCTACCTACCTACCTACCTACCTACCTACCTACCTACCTACCTACCTACCTACCTACCTACCTACCTACCTACCTACCTACCTACCTACCTACCTACCTACCTACCTACCTACCTACCTACCTACCTACCTACCTACCTACCTACCTACCTGCCTAGGCAGCATCGTTCCAACTACAGGCGGTGGCACAGATGAGGATGTCAAAGCCAGGATCAGATAAGCAGCACAGGCTTTCATTAATCTGAAATCAGTGTGGAGATCTACTGCACTGCACTGCACTCAGCATAAAGCGTAAACAAAATCCGGATTTTCAACACCAATCGAGTCTAATCAGTGCTCCTATATGGTTCAGAAACGTGGCGCGTTATGAAAGGGATTTCCTACAAACTACAGGCATTCATCAACAGCTGCCGCCTACGCTCACTCGATATTGAAGATCAGATGGATGGTCAGAAAGCAACCATTAAAGTATCCTTGATTGTTCATCATCCTTCTTATCGTCTGCTAATTAATCTTCGCCCATTAAGTTGTTACAGTTAGAACACCTGATGATATTTTCCTTCTAATGTTTTAGTTATCTTCAAGTTTATGTGTATATATAGTGTATTGAGATTGTTTCATGTCCACTTGTTTCACATTCGATAATGTTATGCACTTTAGAAGAATGATAGAAGAAATTATACATTTAGTGAAAATGTGACTAATCGACAAAACCACTGGACTTTCAAGTTGCAGGCTGCGCATTACAACTCTGCTACACCTACTACGACCTGAACAACCCAGTAGTATGGTAAGCGCCTACACAGTAGGTATACCTCTCAGTATCGTTTGTAAACACCTGTGTCACGTTTAATTGCATTCATGCACAAATGAATTAATTAATTAATATGTAGTGGTACCAAAGAGGCTTCAAAATATACTTTATAGAACTCCGATGAGTGTTATCCATTGTATGCAAGCACACATGATTCCCTATGTCGTCGGTGTATTACTCAATCAAGCTTATGTTTAAACTCTCACTACCCAAATTATCACTGTGTACGATGATTGAAATCAATCGATGAGATGGGTGTTCACTTACAGTACATCTTTGCGAGCAGTTCGTAAGCGTAACATTACAGCAGTGAATCACTGTACGGATTCTCAACGGAGCTGTTGAGATTCAAGCACTAGGATAGTATTGTTAACTCTGAGGAAGACAGTGTGACTCTAAGAAGACAAAAGTACATAGGTTTACACAGTTGCTCTTGTTCCTTTAACAGTTAATACTTAGACGGGGATAGACAAAATATTTGCTATTGCCAGATAAAAGATAACCTCATGTGGTTATAACTTTGAATTAGATAGCAAAGATGAAGGGGAAACTGTGAAGCTAATCATGGAGTGGTGTACCGACATGAAGTTGAGAAAAGAACAAAGCCTACTGTTACCTCTTACGTCTGGTAATTGATTGGAGTCTGTATGTTTCTTCAGAACCATAGTTTGCTTTATTTATGCTCAAGACTGGCTTAGTTCGCTGATAATGCCAGTTTATATTAATGAGGAGAGGTCTTCTCGTGACAACCATGGGGGTATTTTTTAGGCCAGCATCATGTCCACAGCTGTGTCGAACGAGGTATTTTATAAGACTTTGAGGGGAGTGGAGTGCAAGTTCATACTACAAATTGAAGCTTTCTACTCAAATTCATGCAACCTGTAAGAGCTTGTGGAGAGTTGTCATGTGAAGTGACAACAACCACTGGTGTCCACTATGCATGAACACTGTCACCATTCTTGTTTATCTTTGTTGTAGACACGCTAGTGGACATGACTGTAAATACCTCTGACTTAAAGGGGATTGACTCGCTCCGTAGAGGGTACCTGTTCGATTTGGAGTAGGCAGACAATCCTGTCATGTAGGGCGAACACACTGACAAAATGCATAATTTTCTGAATGCCTTGAATGGAAATCTGAGTATTTGTGGCCTGGTATTCGCATCTTTCAAATGTAAGATTATGTCCCAGGAGTGATCTTCACCAACTTCCTGTGTTTTTTTATAGGTGTAGGGGTGTGGTGGTGGAATACGTTGATCACTATACATCCTTGATAAATTGCATAAATTGCTGTAACAGGTTCGTTGCTGACAGAATTTCAGCTGGAGTACGGAATGTTTGTCTGGTATCTGTCAACTTAAACCATCTGTGTTGCAGGTGGGTGAGATACCCGACTACTTATCAAAAGACGAGTATACACTGCTGCAATCTGTTCTGTTCTGTCCTGTTATGCGACTGTGAGGTATGGTCAATGAAAGTAGAGGATACGAAGTGGTGTAATTACTCTTTGTCAACTTCGAAGTTTTAAACATTCTGCTAACCTACATCTACTGATTTCCACTTTTCTCATAAGCACTGGTTTTTCTTAGGAGCACTACTCTTTATGTATGTACTCTTTTATTGTATGCTGAAGTGTATCAGCTTGAATCGATCCACTTCTGCCTTCATTTATCTGTTGTATTTGTTTTCATTGAAAAAGTGTGAGCGCCTTAACAGCTAATTTGTCCTAGTCCGTGACTCTTTAGCAATTAAAATGCATTCCATTCTGTCACTTTACGCTGTGTCTTTTCGTCATGAAGTAATCAACTATTTTGAAATGTACAAGTGTGCTTTTCAGTAATTCTCTGGATCGTGTTATGTGGCTGTGAGATTTAGGCTTTGTAGTTAGGATATATGAAATGATTACAGGTTTTCGACCACAAGTATTTTCGTGATATTGCTTTCATGTTTTTAATGCTTGGTAGTTTTTGTATTATCAAATAGCATTCAACCCAGGAATCATATTCATTCTTCAGGTAAGAAGTTTCACTTAATCTCCAAGTGCAGTGATACTAACTGGTCAACTCGTGCTTGATAATTAGATCAAAATTATAAGCAGTGAGTCAATGGTCGGAAGTTTATTTCTTAATTTTACAAGCTAGAGTTTCACTCTAAGACGTAAGTGGCCATCTAATTATCCGTGGGCTTAGAAAAAGTTTTGTAATCGAGTAAAATTATTTCATCAATATCTTTTTGTATGTTATCATTTAATAGCGACTAATTTATCTTGATATCTCTTATATTTACAGGTTATTCATCTTCACAATTATTTGGATTTTCGTCGTCTCATTCAGGCATCAGTAATGATGGTGATTACCTGTTGGAAAATTTAAATTCAAGCATAAATATCTCAAAAGGTGTGAGAAAGTTATGTTCTTGTACCAGTTGTGCTGCGGTGTGTTATAATCCATTAGTTCATTTGACAAAGATTGATAATAACGAAAATGACAATTCGAATGGTAATACAATGAACATAGTAAATTCATTTGAAAGTTCAACTGAGATTAAAGCTACTAGTGAGTTTCATAATGTGGATCATGAGAAGAAAGCAAGAGCAGAACGTCTTGATATGATTCGTTTCGAAGATTCTTTACTAAATTTATTATTGTTTTCTAGAATGTAAGTAAATTAGATCATTGAATGGCTCTCATTTTCTTGTTTTCTTGTAGTGAAAATACTGAGTTTGTAGAAAACAATGTCATTTGTTTACTTCTATGCTGACTGAAATCTTGTTCAACTCGTGCGCTATACTAAAAAAGCTAAAAAATATTTGAAATTCTATTGCTCTTTGCTCCTTGGTAATCAATAGCATTCTGAAGCCGAAGCTGTGCTACTCGACTGGATCCCTATCAACAGTCATCTATGTGCTGTTGGGCTAGAAAGTTCAACTCGGGTAAGAAGTAATCGGAGGCCAGTGTGAAGTAGTTACACGCTGGTCAGATAATGGGGATCGTCTTCTGGAGCTTGGCGCAGATCACAACCTATTTTTAGCCAGCATCAACTTCCGGCACAGCCATCGGCGTTGTGCTACTTGACGTCCTCCCTCTGCCACTCAAGCGTGGACTCAAATAGATCATATTGCAATCAGCTACCGATGGCATGGATGTATACAGGACTGTCGCTCTACATGGAGTACTTGCCTGGACTCTGATCATGGTTTAGTGTGTACTAAGCTTGTCTTGCGCTTTGGTGGTCATCAAAATCGTCGTTCTAAACAGGTCAATGCAAGCAAATTAGCTGCCCCTAATATTACAGCTAAGTACCAATCCGAACTAGATTTAGGGCAAGCTACCGATCCTGCAGAAAGTGTAGACGAGCATTGGCTGCACTCGCAAGACGCCATAAAGATAGCCAGTGAAGTCGTTTATGGCTTGGAACAACGTCTCGCTAATTAACACTAAGTCTCTGCGAGTTCCTTGCAACTTCTTGAGGCCCATCAGACCATTCCGCCGGATAGCTACTACACTGGTTTTCGTAAGTCTCTTACGCGAAAGATTACACAACGCTTACCCGCGGACCGTGAGACTTGGTGGTCAGAATGCACGAGTGAGATGAAAGTAGTAGCTGCACCTGGCAATAGTCGGAAGCTGTTCCAACTCATCTGAGCCACTGGCAGCAAGAAGCCAGGTATCAATGTGACGATTTGTGAGGTAGATGATACGCTGACAAACAATCTTCAAAGACACCTGGAATACTTGGCCGAGCACTTCAAAAAGCAACTTAGTTGGCCCACGCATTTCATGTTACGCATGTCATTCCAACGGCTTCCATGCTACGCATTTTTCGCTAACCCTGGGACTGGATGGGAGAAGCGGAGGGGTGGTCAGTGTATGACTTGGCGCCGTGGGATGAAGAATGGTTGTATTGCGTTAGCATCTGTTGGTGTACCACGATTCTCTAGGTGGGTTCGAGAGATCACGCAACTCAGTTGCTTGAAACGTTATCAGATATAGCTCAGAATCGTAACTAGTGGTGGTCATCCTGTAGCTTCCCTCTATCTTCTGCTGCTGAAAAGCAATGAATTTTTCGTCACGAATGTATTTACGGGACTGCCCTTCTAATCATTCTATTCTAACTGTTTTTCTTAACTTGTCGACTTCCTTTCACTTTGTGTTTTCATAATGTTGTTATGTTATTTTGTGTCGCGCATTTCTTGGTGCCCTTTCTGTACCATGTTTGTGTCCTAATAATAAATAATAGTAATACATCAGAGAGTTGCTAAAGCTAAGTGTATGCTAGCAAATGAGACTCAGCAAAACGTTTCAGGATTGTTTTGTATAAAAGTACAAGTTTCCACTATGCAAAGTTATAATCCAAATCCCTTTGATTGGATTGGTCACATTTTATGTTGATTAGAAAGCATTGGTTTTGTGCGTATATATATGACATACCTATACATATTAGAATTCAGCCTCTATGAGTTAAATTAAGCACTCATAATCCTCTTCAATCGTTCACACGTAAAATATATCCATCTATTAGGCACAGTTATGTCTATCGATAATGCGCTCCTCTGTGTTGTAGGGTTTCTTCGCCAAGCATTTACTGTCATTCTAGATGGAATCATTTCTTACTTAATATAGTTCGATGCAGTCATTGGTGTACTGAACACTTCAGTTACCTGGGAAGTCGGATCAACCTTGGCGCACCAGTAGCCGACGAAATCTTTGCATAGACCCAAAAAACCTTATCGCCTTTTTCCAACTTACTCCATCTGTGGCGCGGCCGTGATATCCGACTGCCTACTAAAGGTTGGTCCTACTGCTCTGGAGTTCGCTCTGTTCTAGTGTATTGCTGTAAAACAGCCATTAAAGGTCGAGAACATGAGAAGGCTTTAGGTGTTTCACTGCTGTTGCCTTCTTAAAATAAGGTGTGTTTCGGGGTGTCACCGCATCAGGAATGCAGAAGTGACATGCAGAGTGATAGGGAGGAGGGAAAAGTCAGTTGGTGCGGTTTTGAACCTTCATCGACTGAGATGGCTGGGACATGTTACACATAGCTAGTCATCGTCTGTCTTGTGGTGCAATGTTGACTGAAATATATTCAGGTTAGAAAAAGGCTCGGAGCGAGCAGAGTAAAACACGGCATCAGTGCATGTGATCTTTGACTATCGGTTTGAATCATGTAGGGCGATGCAGACTAGCGAGTTGGAGGTCCATATGACTAGATGATATGGCTCAGAATCGATTTCAGTGGCACAAATGTTTCCAGTTTGTTTTCATTGTAACCGCTACACTGAATTCAGCATTTTCTCATTCCACTTTTCTCTCTTTTACTACTTTGTAGTGTTTTCGACCGATTTTTCCTTCCTTCTTCATCTTTAATCTTACTACTTTCTTACTTGTTGTTCTGATATAAGGTGTGGCAGCTTGAACCGTTACACAGTGATACCTGATCCTATGTTCTTAATGAGTGATTATCTTACTGATGATTGTTAGGTCACGGAATTAATCTGTTATTATATTTTACCTAGTCCTATAAGAAGTCTCAGGTAACCGCAATAACTCAGTGTTAACATCTCTGCCTTCAACAATCAGTGACCCGAGTTTGAATCTCTTGGAGTAATCAGTTTCTCCTAAGTTGAAGACACAATTTTTTGATGGATGCTCACAAGTACCAAACCTAGATATTGCGCTTGATGTGTTTTCTAGAGCAAAGTTTCCTGTTTATCTTTCACTTTCTATACTTCACAATTAGTATAGAAATAATCAATGTTTACTGTTTGTTTTCTCTTTTTAAGGAAACCATTTGTTGGCATCCGAGACAGGAGAGATGTTAAAAGTGAGCTTATTAATTGTAAGTACTCAGATTTATTGTTTAACGCAAAACTTTATCTATGCTCTATCTATACATAAAATCTCTCACACTGTCTTTTTCTTCTTAATTGATTGCTCATATATTGATTTACCAACGCATGACGGTTGTGTAACCCGAATTATTAAGTTATATATAATACACTTCGTTTAAGTGTATGTTGCTGTGATGTATGAACTAGTAGTTAAAGTATAGGACAAATGAGTTAGGCTAAAAATCAAGACGTATCGATTCGAATTACTATGCTTCACAATAGTGCAAACAGAATGGTTCAACAGAGTTGAGAAAAATATTAAGCGAATAAAATTAATATCTGTTTAAACGTATCATCCGTGTCTAGATCTGTTTGACGTTCAACATCTGGAAGAGGGTAGGAAAGGAATGCGTGTGCGTCATTAGGATGGATATTTTGTGGAATCCTTTACTTGGAAGCATTGAAATTCAATAAAATTCGATCATTTGTTGGTGATCATCAACTTTAAAAAACAAGTTTGTGAGTTGATGTGTAAATTTAGGGGACTAGCTTCCTAACTGATATCCTGTTGAAATTCAAGTATGAGGAAATAAATGATTTCTTATCCAATCATTCTTTTACCACTTATTGATATTCTTCGTAATTTTGAAGAAAAAGTAAAAGAGTTGAATCTATCAACTTCTTCGTGAGTTATGTTACCATCGTTCTGGTGAATATGGCACCGGTGTTCTATATACAAGTGACATGCTACCTCTGGCTACCAAGATAGTTGAGTGACGCTAACTGCACTGTTCGCAACTGTGTCTTGGATAATAATGCTATTCATGCTATATATGTGATAGTCACTGATTTCAACCGTTTATCGCTTAATTTGTACGAATTAATGAATAGCCACCGGTCAAATGTCATCAGTTTCTGAACTTCGAAATTGGAATCAGTGACTTTCACATATATAGCATGAATCTTACTGTGTTGACAGGGTAAATGGCATGGTATCACTTTTTAGGAGTATGGCTGTTGAACAAAAAGGACATGGAACACACCTCAGAAGTAAAACAGAGAATAGACGATAGATGTGAAAGAATAAAATACTAATGAAATTGTTAATGAACACGGCTCATATTTATGTAAATCTAGTATTTGTGGTGTTTTTGTGACCTGATTAATCTAACATATACTCACAAATTTCTAGATGATCATCACTCAAGCAGACAAAATGATGCTACAGGTTAACTGACCTTTATATCGATTTATTTTGTGTGGAAGTGAACTTTAGCGTTATTATTTTTTCATTGCGAAAATTGAAACTCATCAAGAAAGATATTAACCTACAGAAATCATTTATAGATCATTAACTGTGGATCTGTATTGTTAATTGATTCACCATCATAAGATAGCTGTAGACTGGAAACGAACCAACCAAGAACCTATCACACAACAAATATGCAGGAGGAAGTGGAGATGGATTGGCCATGCACTGAGAAGGCCGACTGAGGACATCACGCGTCAGGCCAGTTGCTCCAGTGGAATCCCCATGGGAAGCGACGAGTTGGACGTCCGAGGGTGACATGGAGGAGGTCGTGCGAGGAGGAAATGAGAGGTTGTGGGCTGTCGTGGAACCAGGTTGAAAAGATCTCAGAGAACAGAGGTCACTGGAGGCGTGCTACTGAAGCCCTATGTTCCACTAGGAACCTAAAGGACTAATAATAATAATAATAAGACTTGCGTACTCATATGTCAACGACTTTTGATCTCTTTCTTCGTATAAAGAGAAATATCAACATTGGGGCCTTGCATTAGTACATAGCAGTCCAAATTGCCAAATTGTATATTTAAGTAAAAGACACCAGACACTAAGCTCAAAATCTGTGTTGAAATTTTTCATGACTATTTTGTAAGATGACATTTTTTCTACCAAACTTACTAGTGATCATGTAGTATTTAACAGCATGGATGGTGCTAGTATTGTAGTCTATACTACTGATAAGACAATGTTTAAGTAATATGTGATGCAGCTGCTTCGAAAGAGACAATCTACTAACGAATGCTCCACAGTGAGAAACAGGGTAGGTTGGTTAGAAGTCGATAGATAACATGAATACGAGGTGGAAGGATGTGAAGGGGGAACGTAACTAGAAGACGTTCAGGAATGATCTGTGTATAAGGGATGTACGTACATTGAATGTTATTATTTACTTGGTAAACAATCTTTCACTGTTGTTTATCTCACTTGTGTGACTATCACAAGAAAAAGTCCCAAGGTTATTTAATCCATGATTATTCGTACTGTTCCAGAGTATAGGTTTCTAAATGTTTTTCAATTTTTCTGTAGTGTCGACGTTATTCTCTACTGTATATGGGGAGTTTTATGGATGATATTGTCTAAGATCCATTTGAGTTGATAGTCCAGTAACTACCTGTTGTGTCAGACTATCTTGTGGATGAATGATGACAAGTTCATCTATTCATCATCATCACCACACAATTTCCAAAAGCTGGTCTTCTCATTTCAGTCCAAATCGAGCAGACAGAGAGGAAGACTAACTGAGTGATTGTTTATCACAGTATTGAGGCGAACCTCAGTGGTCTGAATGAAATGGGCAACTTTATCTCGTAGATCAGTTTGTAGTGCGCATCGCAGACAACTGAAAAGCTACTGATTTAAATTGTGCTTTTAATTTTAAACATTCCTCCATTATCAGTGTGCCTATGCGAGACAACCGTGGTTTAGAAGACTCATATGAGTGGGTGATGATTTTAATTTTTGTATACATTTTATTATCACACGTAAAAAGGTAACTGTTATAATTGTATTAAATTTGCAAACTATTCATTGACGTTTCTAAAAATGGTTTATTGTTAACGTTTGTTCACACTGAATTTCATAAAGATATTTTTTTAAAAAACTTTACCTTTTCCTTCATTATTCTCACATTTTAGCCGTGTCTTCAAAAACGATTGTAAGTAATCCACTTCGTCAAAATAAATGGGATGGTCATTTATTAATAACAGCCAATTCAACGACTTTGAATAATGCTACTTTATCCCAAAAATCTGTCACGGCTATTGTTCCTAACTTACATCATTTTACCCAGTATATGTTTGTCATTTCTGCATGTCATTCTCCACATGATTTTAATGGTGATCCTATAACTGTAAGTTTGCTTTATTGAATACTTTGTGGTGAATGTTTTCTGTATGCTGTCTTTGTTAGATATGATAAGTTAATCTGCAGGACATCAAACCTCCTCGTTATGATTCCTATATCATCTTCAGTCTTTCACTGCTCTGCGGCTCTCGATAACGATTCGAGTTCATGGAATATAATCACTAGTCTTTTGAAACCGTTCTTCAAACTACACATAGAAGCTTCCATTGTTTACACACCGTCAAATCAAATGACAACCTTTGGTAGTCGAAACTCTGACTTCGAATGTATGCGGTTTTTGTGAGACACACATAGAGGATACAGGTGCGTCTATTCATCTAGCTTCACGCAACCAATCTCGTGATTCCGCAAAACTCACTCTTCGAGTTTCTAGAAATTCGGTGGTTAGTTCCCACGGTCTTGCATGTGTGTAGGTAAAGCACTATGTCCTAGGTCTGAAAGTGCACCACTCAACTTCAGTCCATTTAACAATCGTCTGTGAACCCTTTGACTCAATAGTGCAGCTAACACATAGACAGTGAAACTCACCATTGTTTCTTTGTAATCTGTGCTGACGTAACCGTTGACTGCAGTTCGAATGTGAGTCCCTCCGAAAGCTCTTTAGCCTTCTATGAATGAGAAACTCTGATATGTGTCTGTTGTAGTAGATAACTTTAATGCACAAGTGAGTACTAATTTTGGATACTGGCTAGCAGTGTAATCCAGGATGCATGTTTAGTCCTATTTGGTTCTCGTCAGCTTGATATATCTGCCTCTAAACGATTGATGTTGTTCCCACCAAGAATCGAACCCGGGAATTAGGGCGAAACGCTCGTTCTGCACTCCACTGCTAGCCACTACCCATCATCAATATAGTACTGAAATACAGACAATATGGAGGCATCCGTGCAGGAGCCCGAATGCCAATACAGACCGATCAACTCGTTTCAGTCAACGACGGGGTAATAAAAGTAACAACATACTTTCGGAATCCCAGCTAGACAAACGGTTTAATGGCTCTCGTCCGCTTCAACTCTGCTCAGACGAACACAAATTTCTGGTCAACTTGAGCATCGGACGTAAAAAGGCGTCTATCAATCTCAACTCAATAGTGTACGCAGGTAAACCATATTTTTGTCAGTTTTCGCTGCAGAGTCTCAGTTGTAGATTTCTATTCTTTCAGAAGCACGTGTTTGGAAAGTGACCACGCGTTGGTTTCAATTCATCTATGTCTGCTCCTAAATGAACGTGGCAAAACGAATGATTGCTAGAAGAACTGAACCCAACTAGATGACCAGAATACTTTGGATACTTACTTTCAGCGAGAAAGTGGATATACAGTTATCGGAACATGACAACATCACTCATCAAGAAGACACCATGAGCCATCTACAGTATACTGCCAAAACATTAGACCTATACGACCGTTAGAAAATGGATAGAAAAAGTCAGTAGGTCTCCACAACTTCTGAATTACTGTATCTACATGAACGCGTACCTAAAGGCTTTGAGAACAGTGAGGAGCAGAAGCAAATAAAAAGTAGACTGACAAACAGTCTGTGCGGTCATTGTAAGCAGTGGAGGGTAGCAAAGGCTACGGTGGTTGGATAGGCTGTGATGATAGTTAAGGGTGGAAAATTATTCAGACTGATTAAGGAAATTGGCAGGAAAAGTTAAAGGTTTATGAGACCATGATGCATAAGGATGAGCTCACTATTCGTTTGCAGCGGAGGTGAGTGAAACGAAGGGCTTAGGACTTCGAGAAAGCATTTAACTGGCCTTTAGCAACTATTCCGTTGCCCACTGTCCAGTCGGATCTGGAATGGAACATCGAAATAGTATCCCCAATATCTGCGAAGTCGAGAAAGCTGTAGGTGACTTGAAAGGAGGAAGAGCAGATGGATCAGAAGGACTGGTTTCAGAGGTATTTAATGACGGTGATTATGGATTTTAAGTCATGTTAACTGGTATATCGGAGTCAGGTAAGACCATCTGTGACCCATCTTAATCACTTTCCCAACCTTCGAGAAAGGCGGGAAGTTCTTCTGGGGTAACCACAGAGGGGTCTGTCTGCCAAACATAGTATCTAAGATTCTAGGTTCTACAATGATTAGGTGTCTGAGTGGAGCTCGGACACGACAAGCCTGGGAAAACGGGGTAGCGTCCAGACCTTACCGTTAGTGTATCGACTAGCTATTTACACTCTACCAGGTTTTTGAACACAAGAAGACTCTCCGACACCTGAAACTAGCTGTATTTCTCGACTTGAAGGTGGTGATCGACTCCGTCGATTGAGAGATCTGATGACAATGAATCGGGTACCGAGTAATTATATATCTCTGTTAAAGGCTCTTTATTCGGACAATTGTGGGCGTGTTAGAACCTATGGTGAGATATCTGGTGGACTGTACGCAGTTACTGCTCCAGGACTGATCTTCAGTGGTACCCTGTCTAAGAGTTGGGAGTGAAATGATTGAGCGCGTCGGCTATTTCACTTACCTGGGAAGCTGGATTAATCCAGATGGGTCAGTGGGCGGCGAAATCTCTGCACGGATACAAAAGGCTCGAGTGACTATTTCCAACCTACGCCGTCTGTGTCACCGCCTTGATACCCGGTTGTTTATCAAGAATCGAGTGTACTGTGCTGCAATTCGCTCTGTTCTAGTTTATGGTTGTGAAACGTGCCTATTAATGGTAGAAGACATGAGAATGTTTCAGGTGTTCAACCGCTCTTGGCTTCGTAGCGTAGGCTGTATGTTATTTTATCATCACGTCAGTGATGCAGAAGTTAAGTGTTGGGTTTTACGGAGGAGAGGAAAATCAGTTGATGTGGTTGTGAACCTTTGTTGACTGAGGTGTTTTGGGCATGTTTTGCACATGCCGAGCCACCGCCTACCTCGATGTTCAATTTTAGCTGAAGTAAGATTAGGCTGGAGAACGATTCGGTGCGACCAGACTGAAACATGGTTTCAGTGCGTAAAGTCTGTGATTGTTGATGTGAGTAGTGTAAAGAAATGTAGACTTCTCGGTTGGGGTCCGCACAACAACTGAAACCATTGGCTGGAGACAGGCTGACATGGCTCAGAATCAATTTCAGTGGTGCACATACATCCGCACTCTATCCTCTTTCAAAGCATGATATTGAAGTTAGTATTTTCTTATTCCTCCTTCGTCTCTCTCTCTGCTTTTGACCAGTCCTCTCCTTTTTTTACCTTTCATCTGAGTGCTTTCCTGCTTGATATGCAGATATGTGTGGCGACTGGGATCATTATGCAGTAACGCCTGTTCCTGTGTTGACGGTATTGTTATTAGGCCGTTTTATAGCAATACCAGGTTCCATATTCATATTGACTTGCTGATTGATCGGCAAGAGGTTCTGATTCCTCACATTTAACATGAAATTACAGTGCCCACTTTACAAAGTATATTGACATATATCTATCGGTGCTGAACTCAAATGACTATATAGCTATATGGTGTTAACCATTATCCTAGTGGAATATTCGGCTTTAGTAGCACGCCTCCATTTCACTCTCTTCTCTTCATTCCTCCCAACCTGGCTCCGCAACTGCCCAAAAGCTTTCATTTCTTCCTCACATGACCTCCTCCATGTCACCCTCACCTCGGACGCCCAACTCGTCGTTTCCCATTTCCATTCCACTCGAGGGTTTGGCCCGGCGCGTGACGTACCCAGTCGGCCCTCTCAGTGTATGCCCGGTCCATCTCCACTATCGTCTCCTGCATATTTGTTGGGCGATAGGTTCAGGTTCTTGATTGGTTTGTTTCCAGCCAGAGTTCTTTCTTGCCTATTCTTTCTGACCATTCATCTGATCTTCAATATCGAGTGAGCGTAGGCGGCAGCTGTTGATGAATGTCTGTAGTTTGTAGGAAATCCCTTTCATAACGCGCCACGTTTCTGAACCATACATATAGGAGCACTGATTAGACTGGATTGGTGTTGAAAATCCGGATCTCGTTTACGCTTTATGCTGAGTGCAGTGCAGTGCAGTAGATCTCCACACTGATTTCAGATTAATGAAAGCCTGTGTTGCTTATCTGATCCTGGCTTTGACATCCTCATCTGTGCCACCGCCTGTAGTTGAAACGATGCTGCCTACGCAGGTAGGTAGGTAGGTAGGTGAAAGAGACTACTTTCTTTACCTTTCTCCTGTTGATGGTGATTGGTGCCTCTCGTTGTTGATGTTGTTGTCGGTTGGGTGTATCTTCATCACCTCCATCTTCTCTACATCCACTTGAGGTCCCCTCTTTCTTTGCTGCCCCTTCTGTCAACCTGTTAGTTTTTGCCTGTAAATCTTCGAGTTTGTGCGACATTAGACATGAATCATCGACAAAATCCAAATATTCTCCTGGGGTCTTTTCATCGGTCCAGCCAGCGTATGCTCCCCTTCTCGCTCCTCACAGTTTGTTGCATGATCCTATCCATTCGACTACAATCAGGAAGATCATGTGTGATATTAGGCAACCTTGTCTTACTGCTCTCTTCACTTCAAAGATGTCACTGAGCTTTCCATTGTGAATCAATTGGCATGTGGCGTCTTCATATAGCTGTCGAATGAGGTTGATAAAAGTTTGTGGCACTAAAACCGAAGTGTTGAAGCAGTTTCCACATTACTTCTCGGTCGACGCTGTCGAAGGCCTTTTCAAAGTCGATGAAGTTGAGGTAGAGAGTTGACTGCCATTAATGCTCTGTTCTTTGATGATGGGTAGAGTAGCGTAGCATTGCAATTTGATCCGCACATGATTTGTTCTTCCTGAAGCCAGCCAGCCAGCCAGCCTATTCCGGTCGTAATTTTGAATGCAGCGCATCTGCACGAGTAGCAGGTGGTGGTGGTGGTCAATTCAAGAGATTTTGAAGTGGTCAGCCTGTTGTTTCGTTTTTCTCTCATCTTTCGTAACTATCTTTTATTGGTTGCATTTGCGTTGATCCCTTCCCAGATAGTAACCTGGTTATTTGGTACAATGTTGTCAGGTCTCTCCTACCTGCATCCTGTTCAGCTTCAGTTGTCAGTGTGTCACAGATATGTTTTTTGTCTTTGCGTGCACTCTTCTTCACTTCTTTGTCTAGTGTATTGTTTTATATGTTGTACTCAATCCCTCTTTCGTTGTATATCCCTGCACTGAACTGCACCGGTTCGTCTTCTGTTTCACCATCACCATCTTCTTCTCCCTCCTATATTAGCTTCCGTGTGTCTGTCGAGATCCATTCCTTGTCTTGTTTCTTCTTCATTCCTAGGACGGTTATGCAGGTTTTCTGCCAAATCTCTTTCAAGAAGTCCCAGTGTTCTTCCACGTAGATTTCCTCAGGGATGTTGCTTAATGTCTCCCATTTCTTCCTGTCTGACGTGAAGATGTCCCTTGTAGTTTCGTTCTTCAGTTTCTGTGTGTTGAACTTGAACTGTGGTCTATCACCAACATCTTTGAAGGCTTTCAACTTGATTCGGGAGGTAGGTTTCTTGCATTATATAGTTAGTGGTGTGAACCTTCATCTGCTCCCCTTCTTCGTCTTATGTCCAGTAGGCTGGGTCTTTACTTTCTTCAAGTTTAGATGAAGTGATTGATGGACACACTGTGTACATCTGGTGAAATCAAATTCATGTCGCTTTGTGAATATCCATTCTCGTTCATTTCATCGAGTGCTTCTCGACCCATTATAAGTTCTTTTCCTGTGTTGTCTGCTCCGAGTTTGGAATTCATGTCACTCATTAGAACTTTGAAATCGCCATCTGGGGTGGGTCTTGTCCATTACTGATTGCAGTTGTCTGTAGAATTTTTCCTTCTCTTCATCTGCATTATTTGTAGGTGCGTAGCGAAGCATTGAATGATTGTGACTTTCCTTTCTTTTGAGTTGAACCTTGCTGTCATGATCCTGCAGGAGGATATTGATTACTATTGTATGTGAGCCTCCGATGCTCTTGGGGACATAATGATAGCCACTCGAAAATTCAATGTGCTCGGGATCGTCGTCTAGGTGACAATATCGCAGTAGATTATTGACTCTCCAGTTAATAGTTTGAAGAGTCCACTTCCATTCCATCTGCTTTTGCAGATTCCTAGCACTTCTATGCTATATCTTCTCATCTCTTTGTCAATCTGGGCAGCCTTGCTAGGTTCATACATACATGGTGTGGACATTCCATGTCCCCATGCTTACTTTTGCTTTCATGAACAGATTGAAGGCACATCGACCAATTGGCTTCGCGAAGGCTTTCACTAACCGGCATCATTTCGTCTCCCCGATTCCAGGGAGGAATAAGTTTATTTTTATATTTTCTCTGTGCTTAGAAGTTTCTTTAGCGATTGGATTGATTATACGGGTTTGGGTTGGTAGCCCTATCCCCAACCTTCCCTCTTTACCCGGGCTTTGGACCGGCTAGTAACTAGTTACTTAGGCGGGGTTCATTTAATCCATAGTTTAAAAAAAATAGAGAAACTTTGTTGGTATGCTCGTGGTCTACATAATTAGTTTAGACTTTTAAAAATGGTAGTTTTTGTTTATACTTGCCTAAAAAGTTTGGTATTTTCACTGTTTTCATAGGAAGATTGTTTTAACTGTGAATAGTGCTACTTTGAGAAATGCGCTTACAGCTGTAATGGAAAATGATTTCAGATTAAGATTTAACTATCTATTCTGAACTGGTCTTCAACATCACTGCCTTAGATGTCGATATTTTTAATTTTTTTTCTATAAGTGCTACAAGTCATCTAGTTAGTGACAAGGAGATTAAAACCTAAGGGTAAATCTGTTCTACACACATTTTTCTGAAGACAAGTGGAGAATATGAAGTAACGTTTCATCTAACTATTTACTTTATTGTATTTTAGAATCTAACGTATTTTGATGCAAATGATGATAATTTTGTTGCGACGACGCCGTGGTGTAGCACACAAGGTAGTATCTGGCAACGTACAAAAGCATCCATAGGTGCAGATGATATTGATCCAAATTCTGTTGAGTTAATCAATGAAAATGTTGATACGAATAATTGTCTGCTGCCTGAATTGCCGTTGTCATCGTCAAAAGAAGAACAATTAAGCCAATGTGATGAAAAGTTAACTAGTAGTGTAGTCAATAATTTACGGTTAAACAATTTTTCGAAAACAGTAATAACCAGGTTAAAATGGCAGCCTCCGTTGGAACCGAATGGTTTGATACTGCATTATGTGATTCGTTACAGACGTACAAAGAGTGAAAGCAAACACGGAAAACAATCATCGGGTTCATTTAATGATGTAGGTCATTTTTTTCACTTCCATTTTTATTCCATGAGTGATTTCACTTGTTTCACAAAATTTCTTTATGATTACAGCTGTAATGAATCAGTGAAACTTCTAATCTTACTGTAGTTATTTGTCGTTAAATATCTCTTAATTTTACTGTACATCTGATATACTTTGTTTATATAGACTGCAATATTCAACAAAATTTAAGAATCCAACACTTATTTCTTTCATTTTCCTTCGAACCTCCTTCTCACCACCGATTCTTCTAAAGAAAGTGGATTTGGCGAAGATCGCTTTATTCATTGTTTAAGTCCAGCTTTTTTGAAACACATAGAGAAAGCAGTAATCGTTTTATGTCTTTACGTGTATTGGTCTTTGTGAAAAGCCACGATCCTAGTTGATGTGAAAAAATGGATTTTTGGACGTAAATGAAAACGTAAAGATACTGAATGTGTGGGCATAATTGAATTGTACACGAATGATCCCCCTGTCGTCCTGTGCAACACTGAGCTGGTGATCTCGAAAGAGATCTTAGGTAGATATGAAACCTATGTATGCTATTTTCATTCATATACAAATGCTGTAAGGCTAAATAAGTCATTTCGGTTGTTTCACTGAAACACCCATTTTCCCACTAATATCATCAACGAACAGCAACGTAGATCGAAAATCGAACTTAAAATGACATAAAATATTGATGTATTGAAAGAAAAGACAGAGACGAAGGAAGGAATGTTTTTTATTAACATCTGGTACAGTAGTCATTAAACATGGTACACCTTGAACTAGGACATTCATTCCTCTTCTGTTTCTATCTTGATTTGCTCTTAATACACCCCCATTGTCTCTTGCGTTTCTCTGGGCAGAATCCTTATCCATTGCTGGTAATTGCCTATGATTTCTGTCACCCTCCCAACATATACTAACTCTATCCATTCTGATCGACAACCCCCACTGCAGTACTTCTTAGTTACCTTCTATCACTAATTCACCCTCTAATCTGGATATTTCTAGTCAACCGATTTCTTTAGTTCAGTTATTTGTATGAGTTGGCACCATCATTTATTTCTGTTCATGAGACCTATAATAGTCTCATATTTTGGGTAGTTACGTTTGAGATGACGTTTATAAATATTTCAAAATATTCATTTGTATATGGTCAAATGGGAACATTAGTTATCATATCAATATGCATGTTATTTGCACATATTCAGTGATAACTATACTGTTTCGATAGCAGAGATAGTTACCTAAATATCTTGAAGAAGTTTTAATCCGATCCCATGCAATATTTCGCTTTCTACATCATAATGAATGCAATGGGTATGCATACTTTTTAATTGTCTATCGACTATATATATATATATATATATATATATATATATATATATATATATATATTCCTTAATTCCAAGATCATATCCATCCATATTAAAGGGAAGTCATAAAAAAGGTTATCACTTTCTTTTTTCAACTTTCATTTAAAATGATTAGCGAAAATCTTAAGCCTATGGATTAAATACGCCCCTAGAATTGATTTAGTACGTATACAGTAAGGTAGCTAAATATTCTCAGACAGTAAAAAAATACGGTGTATCTAAATTAGAGTATCAGTAGGAAATCATCGAATTACTTCATATAGTAGGTATGATTTAAGTGATTTTTAGATGTATTCCAATACAATCAGAAGAAAGTGGAGATGGAATGGGCATACACTGAGCTGGCCGACTGGGGGCATGACGCGTCAGGCCCTCAACTGGAACCCCGATGGGAAGTGACGAGTTGGGCGTCCGAGGTGAGGGTGACATAGAGAAGATCGTGTGAGGAAGAAATGAGAGCTTCTGGGCTTTCGTGGAGCCAGGTTGAAAAGATTTCAGAGAACAGAGCGCATTGGAGACGTGCTAGTGAAGCCCTATCTTCCATTAGGAACCCAAGGGACAAATAATAATAAATTATATTCCAATACAACTGTCGTTTTATGGCTTTCTATTGGGACTGTTGACATTGGAAGCTGAGGATTTCATTTGTATGCATATATTCCTATCGCTTGTCTATTACCATTTAGTAGCAGTAATACAACATTTGAAGTTGATTTATTCGTATTTTTGTGTATAAAATCTTGAGTATATCTAAGGATAGTGGTGATATGGATCGGAACCGATGTTAGTGGCGCAGATCTATACACACACATTATCCTCACCTTAACCCCTATACTTAATCTCATCATCACATTCTTCCTTCCAGTCTCCTACTACTTTCTTCTACTCCCTTTGGCCGATTTTTCTTTCCTACTTAGTCTTTCACGTTATTGCCTTCTTACTTGATATGCTGATATGAGGTGTGGCAACTTGAACCGTTACTCAGTAATACCTAGTCCTATGTTGATCTTGATGATAATGATGATGAAGGATAATGTACAACAATAAATTTCAAAACACCGCACTATAAAACTTAAAGAAATAAAGTATCTTTCAAGTCTTTTCTAACTAGTTCCATGTTTAATGACTGAAGTTGAAAAGAAAACCTTATCCCAAATCTTCATGCTGAATAATACTCGTCGCGCAAAAAAACAAATCATGCTACATCAACAACTTGGATCCATATCACAGGATCTTTTGTCGGTAGTCATCATCACCCACCTATTTGAACTGTCTGCATGGAAATAACCTTTTAACTACTTGCCAATAATTACCGATATTAGGAGGCTTACTCTAGACTTTAAATTGTCTATTTCCGTTTTATTTATCTTTGTATTTATTAACTAGGAAAGAACTTGGTTTTTAATGTGTATAACAGCAGAAAGTCTACCTGCATTGGAATATACGAGTTCCGAATCAATCATCAATAATTCTACAGTGAATCATCCTTTTTCTATACAGTTGTATGATCTACATCCAGGCATCTATGAATTTCAAATTATGAGCGTCTCTCTAGCAGGAAATGGTTCATGGACGCTTGTTAAACACTTTACAGTCCCAGATACTCGTACACATTCTATTTGGGATTTCTTGGAAGGTATTTCTTCTTAATGAATTGTGTGTTGATAAAGTTTCGTTGATGGCTTAACACGAAAAAAGTTACATCTTATAACCGAATAATAACTTACATTTCAGAAAAGGGAAGTCTTCACTATTTTTGGCTTTAGAGTTTGCATGGATTTTTTGTTAAAATAACGTCGATGATGTTAAATATACGCCTTCGATTGAATTTGGTAGGAATATATGAAGTGTGCAAGCAGGACATACTATCTGACGAATTTCAGTATCGTTTGTTTGGAACTGGAACTGAGTCATCTATGCATGTGGAGCTATGGCTCATTGGTTTAGGGAGATGACTTGCAACCGATAAGTCACTGGTTCTAGCCTCGCTCTGCCATCTGGGGTTTAGGCAACTGAGTAGTATAACTAGCCCTCACACAGTAGGTGTGGGGCTCATTACCTATTGCACGCACGAATGTGCTCAAGGTTGCTGATTGCATTTCGATTCGATTTGTTTAGGTATTTAACTATCAAATCATGGTGACCGCTTCGAGTTAATTTTACTTACTTCGAAATGCATCATCATGTGCATAAGTCATTACATGCTAGGTGTTCTCTGTAGCTGAGTGTATATATAGTTGGTGGGTCGCATCGCTAGTACTATTATTGAGGTCGTTCAAGTTGTCTAATAACTTACTATATGTGTTTGTGTGTATATGGGAGGGGGATTTCAGAAATTTAGTAGGCAATTAAGATGTAACTGTAGTAAAGCGTTAGCTTACTCGGTCCCAAATATCTAATACAACACATTGGTATGACAATTTATCATACAATCTAAGAAGAAGAAACAGTTTTCTCAATAACCAAACTTCCTATTAGATCTGTTCCAATCTGATTATTAATTCATGAAGCTTGTCATGGAATTTCATCCACTAGACATAAATTTCTACTTTTTCTATAGTTAGAATATTAGTCAAAATCCTCAAGAGTCTGATAGTTGAAATTACTGCACTTTTTCACTGACCACCTACAAGTGTTTTAAATCAATAGTATGATTTAACTCAGGGGAAGATTAAAACAGTATCATTTAGGCACTGCAATAGTGATATTCCAGCTGGATGAAATTATGAGAATTGTAAATCACAAGAACTCAAGAACAATAAGTCTAAGTTTGGAGAAAGTTGAAAAATACTGAATCTTTTAGCGCTGTGAGAGAGGCCCAACAGTCTTACGTTAAATCATGCAGATTTTTAAGGGTATGTATTTCTTATAACTGTCTTCCCAGCCAAAATTACGAAATCTGGTTGGTTTTCTCAGCAGTTTATTAGAATGGCCTTTAAAGTCACTCATGGTTCTCAATGTCCTTGCATATTTGCTATGAGTCATGCAAATATGCAACTAAATTCTAAGCCTTCATCTGACCATGAGTCATAGAAATGAAACAGTTAATTTCATGCATTGGAAGTTGAATGAAGCACAACATCAGCCATACAGAATTGAGTAACGGGTCAATAAAGTGCTCTTGAATACAATAAGAACAGTGTTGGCAAAATTAGCTTTCATGTATCTCTTAGATTCTCTTCAGCTTCTGTACAACCTATGGAATATTATTTTTATAATAGAAAAACAAGATATGCAACTTACTTTCGGAAATTGACAAAGGTGTTTTAGTCAAGATGGAACATAACAAAGACGTAGACTGGCCGAAATTGGTCCAATTTAATGTTGTCAAGGTTAATCAAAGGTTAACTATTTATACAATGGTCAAATGAGCATTATGGAGAAGATAGAAGAAAAAGCGGTAGGAGTTGCATAAAGTGTCACTCTAGAATTGGTAAAAAATAACATCACGATTAAGTGAACATAATTAAAGGTCAACAAACTTTCACTACATTGAGTCATATAATGAACACAACCCAGAAAGTGAGAGTAACATTCGAAATAGGTTAGAGACAACAATCAAAAAACAGATGTTTATGTAGTCACAAAGTTTTATATTTGCAAATTTATGAGGTTTACAGTACCAGGGTAAAGCAGGATCGACAACACTCTGTTTTTGAAAATATAGGTTAGATTTGAGTCTTTTAATTGTAACTGTTTCAGCAAAGCATAGAAAGTTGGGTCTCAGTTGCTTGTGGATTACTTTGGACGACTTCGTTATGTCGACACTGTTCAGTGTCAAGTGAATGTCGAGTGATTTCGCTTCTCAAACTCCGTGCACATTAGCATATTAGATTCGTTTATTCGATATACCACACAGTTATTTACTTGATGACATTTCCAGCATAAGCTATTGCTTATAATCATATCAATGTGATGTGTTTATAAGCAATAATCCATGCTCGTAACGTCACGAAGTAAATACTACCGTATAACTGTGTGCTATGTATCAAATAAACAAGTCCAGAATTGCATTCTACCACAGTGCCTAAGTTTTACACTTTTATTAATGAAACTCGTGAACCTGTATTATTCGAATTCTTAAGGATATGTTCAGAAATGCGAACCAGAATCTTCTCTTTTCTTCCAACGTATATGCTTCGGTACGTTCATGTGAATCGGTAGATACAGCTGTAAGTAACAAGAGTTGAAAGCTTGTCCAATTTGTATTGTTTTAATGAGTAGTTATTCCAGTAAACACAATATTCTGGCGACTGAATAGGTCTTTCTCATCGCATCACTAACTCGGTGATTGGACCCTTTTTGGCAATAGCATCCCCTTTGATAGATAGCAAGCTGTTGAAATACGTCATTCTTAACTGTCGAATGTCTGCTAAAATTAATAAAATAATACACCTGGTCATACCTGAGATTCATATTTCCTTTCTTTCGAACGACATAACAATCCTGTTGAGGAAGTATTGTGTTTATAATAATTCTAGATTGAGTTTACTTTTATGTATGTAGTTACAATTGTGTTATCATGAAACAAATGTACACCAATATTTATGTTACCAATGGACATGATGAGTTGAAATATTTCGATATAGTACTATATAATCAAGTTTATACAAACTATATTAACTATTGAAGCTGTCAAATAGAATCTCACTATTCTAAATACGCGTTTATTCTTTGATTAAACAATATGGTTATATAACTGTGTAGAGCCTAAGAAAGAATTTATTAAGGTAAGAATATTCGTTGTTCATCAAATTGTCTTTTGAATTATGAGAATTTTCAAAGGATAGGAAATAGAAAAGTGTTTTTTTTAAATCACTTTGACCATCTAAGATCGCCATAGTTTGGTATACTTGTGTTGATGATTTAATGGTGATTTAAGGTGAAATGAAAATTTGGACTGCGAAAGGTTTGGAACCAGTGACCACCGGGTTTCCAGCTCGGTGCTCTATCAACTGAGCTACAAGAGTCGCCTGCTGGCCAAATTTTAATTTCATTCTAATCATCACCCAACATCACTGAGAGGCTGCCTGACAGCGACTATCTCAGATCATCAAACTGATAATCAGTATGGTGCTCCCTCTCTCTAATTCAGTTAGATTTGGAGCGGAATGAGAAATCCTGATTGGGTAACTAGTGTGAGTACGATCAAGCGATAGTTACGCGTCACGAATTCACAAGGTAGTTGGCCAAAACTCCAGTTGATCGAAATGAAGTAAGAAAATTCGGTTAATAGTCGTGCTTCGTAGCTCAGTTGGTAGAGTACTAGACCAGAAACCCGGTGGTCTCTGGTTCGAGTCCCGCTACAGCCTAAATTTCCAACTCACTATCAGTCATCTCTTAGTACTTTTTTGTATGAAGGTGTGAAGGAAATGTTGGTATCTAACAAGAGATACATTTTTTAAAACGTATATTTTATATTCCTAATGAATGAATACTCACAATAGTTAACCCTAGTAATATATATATTCCTTCTGCATTTAGTTATCAACCGTTGGATTCCAAGTTCGATTCCTCTCTATATATTCCGGTCTGAAAAGCAAAGTAAATACTCCCAATCCTTACAGACTAGGGGGGATCTATAGCCTAGTATGCTAGCATGTGCAAACGTATTGAGTTACCTCATTTATTTACGCATATTTGTAAGACCGCCATATTTAAGTACAGAGAGTTGATTTTGTTATTATTTCAAAACGTTATTACATAAGTGGTATGTGTATGTATTCAGTAACATTGGTATACATTTGTTGCTTTTCCTTCTGTTTTGTTTTTCTGTCAAACAGACCACTACTATATTTTCATCATCACTTTTACACTGAATATTATCTTGCTTGGTTTAGCAGCTTTCTATATCCAGCGACGGATTTCTCGGTAATTTGATCAATTTAAAGTATGATAAATTATATTCTGTGAACTGTACTATGGTATAATATCTTACCATATTGCTTTTTATGCTATACGCTACATCGTGATGAACTAATAGAAGTAGGACATTGTTTTTAGGCACCAGTTTTGTATAAAACATTGTTATCGATCTGAACATTTTTAACTTGGCATTCTCACACCACTTTATAGTATGACTAGAAGTTTAATTTCTGCGCCCCCATTTTAATGTAATTCGCTGATTGGTTAACTTTTACTCTTACTATGCGAATTTCTCCAATTGCGGACAAGGTCATGTTTTATGTGTATACATATTCACGTGTTTTGGATTGATTGGTTATTATACTCTCGGAGTATTAAACTCTTCCATCTTCCAGCTTCGGTCTTCTCTCTATTCACCCCGGGGTTGCAGTTAGTGGCTTCTGCGTACTAAGTTGGCTGTTAGCTAAGCGTGCGTATTCTATTTATTCGGAATATATATAACCGTTGGCGTACGAAGATATAACAGAAATTTATAGCAGACATATGGTCTATTGGATTCCTATCTGGTGTCTCAATGTTAGCGTCCTGGCCGCAGATCCTGGAGATCTTGGGTCCGGTCCCTGGTTGATTCATGAATGTCCACTACTGAGGAGTCCCATACTAGAATGAAACAACTATCCAGTGCACCAGGTTTCCAGTGATTCTTCAACTGATGTCGGTGCGCGATGAATACCAACTTTAAGTTAATACTTATATCTGTATTCAGTAGGTTTCTTAATGTTACCTACCATGTACCTTGAGATGAATTGAATTAATCTTTGCCTGGTCCAGCCAATTTAAAGGGTAATATTGTTTATTATATACTCACTACCACAAATGTTATAGGTTGCCAAGCATAAATCAAGAAGCGGAATGATAATGACGTGTCAGTAGTTGCGTTGAGGTTAGGAGGTGTGAAAGCAGGAACAACGAAAGGTGCTGCACAATATGGTCGTTCAACATTTTGGTGAAGAAAAGGTATTGATGCATTTGTGCCGCCTAAACTTCTTCTAAACCATACCATATTTGGTTTACAGCTATCAAGAACTCTGTTCGAAAAAATATAGGTCCCCTACTTGGATGAAAACCAATGGTCTAAAAGTTTATGGTTGTTGTCACAACCATATAGGTCTTAATGTCCTATTGCAACTGTACTTACTCGTGTTTCCGGGTTATCCATGAAGTCTGGCAGATGGCTATATCTCTTTCTTTTTCTACTTATTTGTTGTACCTTCTGTATTTTCCTCGTTCGCACTTTATTTCCTCACGCAGGTTACATTTCTTGTGACCCGTAAGTGTTCTTATTGGCTCTTATCTTTTTACTTTCTTTTAAAAAACACCTTGTCTTTCAGGGTCATTATAGACTTCTCTAAATAAAGTGTCAGTTTTTACTGATAAATGTCTTCAGTTTGAGTTACCATAAATTCAATTGAATACCTGTCTTCTGACTTCACCCTGCAAATCACTCGGATTGAGTCGTGTCAACCATCATGGTTTAATTTAGACGACACTGTATCCTAATGTTCCTCTTCTTCTTCTTTCCTTTAATTTTTATTATATCTTCTCATAATAATAGTGTTGTTTCTATTATCCTTATTGATTACAATTTTATCTTTGCATAACTATGATAGTTTTTATTTTAGCTTCTTTTTTGTTTATCAGAAAACGATTAGAAAATAAATCATGGATGGATGAACAATGGGATCTACTAAGTGTGGGTATTTCCAATGACTGGACAATTTCTATGAATGATTTAACTGTGGATATTAATTCACCGTTAGGTCGAGGTTCATTTGGTATGGTATACAAAGGAAGAATAATGCGTTTGTCCACACCAGCTAGTCAACAGTTATTTGTTAATTCTATTGGTAATTCAAAAGATTTAACTTACAGCTCAAAATGTGTTATGTCATGGGGTTCTGTAGGCTTTAAAGTAGCTGTAAAGGTAAGTCAATAATGAGGTACGGAATTACCTGTGATTACTTTTAAAAAGCAAAGAAGGGATTATGACTTCTCTCACTACTTTTAATATAATTAATAAAATAAAAAACCAGGTGGAAATGTTATTTATTGTTTTGTATTGAGGTATGTGTGAATGCGGCTATTTACATAGAAATTTAAAATAAACTCATTTTATTCTGAAAATTATCTGTATCTTGCTTTATTCAGATTTATCAGTGTATTTAAATAAAGCTGTTTATCAAGTAATCAGTGGGTGTTTGTATGAACATTCTGAATACCTTATTATTGAAACACATATGATGTAATTCATTTTAGTAGTTTATTAGAATTTGCCTGATGATCTAATATCTTTAGATATCGTCAAAATTATAATGGGGAGCTATTACTGATTGCCTAAGATAATTTTGTTTCTGGCGATAACTAAGGCTTATAATCGACAGTAAAGAATTGGATGTTTTTCGAATTTCATCACAAACAATAGTCGTGTATCAAATGTGAATCAACAATTTTTTTATTGTCTGTCTTTAGTGAACTGGTCAGTCAATAATAACATGGGAGCTTTCATTACTACGTGTAACAACGCAGGCTGTTGCATCCCACATCAGCAAGGTAACAGGGTGAAAAATGGAGAAACAGATGTAAAGTATAATTGAATGTGACAAGAAGAGAATAGGAGTGTATGTTAAACAAAAGCTAAATCTAATTTGACTATTAGGATGAAGATGGAGTGTAGGTACATCGGTGCCACATAGGTCGATTCCGAAACATATCACCCACAGTTTTTATCGATCTATTCAGCTTTTGCTTGACCTTAACTGGAAGGTCTTTACGCTCCAGACCAATAGTTAGGACTTTCATGGGCTGATGCCACGTTGTAGTCTATATTTATTTCCCAGATTAAACCTATTTCAGCTAACTTCGCACGACTGGGCAAATGATGATCAGGTATGCATAACATAATTTCATTTAAGGAAGATTAACAACTTCATTTACTGAATAAAATCTACCTAAAACTGTACTCCTACCTTTGATACTATTAACGTTGTAGTTCTGCAACACTGACCTTCTTCATGAAGATAACGGTGATTGAACACTTGATGACGTCTCATATCATCCACGTTTAGTCACCATCATTCACAACCAAATAGTGAGATAAAGAGAACTATTGCACAGTACACTTGATCCTTAGTAGGGAATCGGATATCTCGCCATTTTGTGAGTTAAGTAATCATATTTCATTACAGTCCATTTCTATTTGCGATTGTATTCAACAGCTCAGAGTACAAAGAAAAGCTTTTGTCTTTTCTTTTATCACTATTTAAGTGGACAATAGTTTCCTTACAAAAGTTTAAAAGGGATTTTTTTTGACATATGGATGTTCCTTGGGCTAATTTGTTGTTTCATATGATAAACTACTTTTAATTTCATATGCATATTTTCATGAGTGCTCACCTGCATTGTTTGTTTTTTTTCCCCTTCAAATTTAGACTTTATTTTCAGCATCAAATATCGATGATGTACGAGAATTCTTCAATGAGGCTTCATTTATGAAAGACTTGCGGTGCAGATATATTGTACAATTTCTAGGAATCACATTCAGAAAAGTAAGTTTCGTTGACGATTATCATTTTGTATGCAGTTTTTTTGAGAGTTAAGTGACTACCTGAAGTACTGTCGATTGTCACAACCGAAGGAATCCAGTACATCGGATAAACTAATTATCATATCATTTCAAATTTTTATGTATTCGCCTCGTGCTGGATTTATTATGTATGCTACTCAGTAATCAGCTGAATGTTCCTACACTGGGTTATGAGCTACACCTATTGTTTAAGGACTGATAATATTACCTAGCTGCCGAAATCTCTGTCGTTGGAGCGTGGTTCGACCTCTTTGGCCACTGTTTGATAGTATACAGCCTAGATACAGCTGGATGGTTGCCCTACGCCTAGTTTGTCGATGACACTAAGTCATTAATCTTTAAGATGCATTCAATCTCTGAAAACTCTGTAGTTAAAGTATTTTGTCTGAAAATATTCTGAAAATCTGTAGTTTATGAAGTTAGGCTGTTGGATTTACCAAGATTCTCGTAGTTTTTTGACTTCAAAACTTTTGAACTAGAATTATTATTCTTGCT